TGAAAGAGTTTAGGCAGTAGTCAGCAATGCGATGACCAAGAGAAACTGAATAGAAAAATCATATCACTGAGAAAGGTTCCAGGCCACTTTCAGTAATATCGTGGCAGGGTACACCTAAATGAGCTTCAAACATTGCACTCATGTCAGGAATGAAACACTATCACTTTTTAGTGCACCCATAACTTTGAGGACTGGTCTGTCCTATCATGCCACACCACACATGATTGTTGTTGTAGTTTAATGCTGCACTCAGCAATATTTCAGCTATATGGTGGCGGTCTGTAAATATTCACTACAGTGATCAAGGTCATGAGCACCAATCTACGCAACTGGGATATGATGACATGTGTCAACCAAGTCAGCGAACCTGACTACCCGATACCATCAGTTGCCTCATACATTAAGTTACAACAAGCATGGGTTGCTGAAGACCAATTCTAACCGGGATCTTCACGGGTCACACCACAAGTGATCAACACTATAGTTACACTGAATTACCAACTTACTACCAAGTCACCATCAAACACAAAAGAGGGTTTTGAGGTTGTGTCCATGCTTACTGCACTGAGATGTGTGCTTGTACTATTCTGGACTCAGTATTCTGACAGAGAAAACCAGACCTTGTCATGTCTGAGCATGAGGCAGGGTGACAACATGCACCAACAATTTTTGATATTATGTGGTTTCGGACTGAGCCACCAACCTTCCCCTCTCTGGTAAGATACTCCATGTACTAAATCACAACAGCGATGTTACCAAAATCAAAAGGGTTGCTGGGCATGATGACACAGACCATGGTTTTACAGGATGCAAGATTCCTGCATATTGGATGCAGAAATTTGGTGAAGTACCCCAAAACTAAAATCCTGTGAGTCCTTGTGGACGCAATATAATTTTTTCTGGGAAAGAACTTTCTGAGTTTGTAATGACATCCCATATTAATAGGTAAACATTTTATTTACAATCATTATTCTAATGACATTGAAAGTAACAGTAACACATATCATAACGTAATCATTATCAAATGGGAAGCATCCATTATCATTGATTTCATGGAAATTGATTGACTCCCAATTTTGGAAATGGACTCTAAAAAACATATGCCCTGAGTCCACAGGACTCCTAGTTTCGAAGAGCTATGTAAAACTCTGACAGACACAGATGACATAAGACACAGACACATTTACTTACACCAAAGACTGCTGGTTTGTTAGTGTAAATGTGGAAACCAGTCACTCTAGTCCAATCCTGAAAAAATAAGACAGATACAGAAGCTCAAAAATCATAAAGATGAAACAGAAATTGACATTAATTTTCAAGTCTTTTTGAACATGTTCCAGCAATATTACAGCAGGGGACACCAGAAATGGGCTTCACACTATGTTCACATATGGGGAATCGAACCTGGGTCATCAGCATGACCCATGTAGGGAACCTGGGCTCTTTTGAGTGTAGGAGTGAGTGATGAGTGAACACATTAACCACTATGCTATCCCACCGCCCCTTATGGGCATATGGCTTGCAGGCAGACAGCTATTTCTATCATTTGATTCTGGTACACCTAAAGGATGCAATCGTTGCACAGAAACCATGTGTCGCCCTCACTGCAGGATAGACTGTAAGCTACATTTGATGACAGATATGTAGAAATGGTATGTTGCAAACTGCGACGTAATTAACGAAATAAAATGAAGAGTAGCATCAGCAGCTCTGTGAACACTTGACCAAAGGTCAGAACAACTGATTCCAGAGATGGCTAACATGGTTGAAAGGATTTGGGTTCCAGGGATGGTATCCATGGTTACAGAGACTTTTGGTCTTACATTTGGATGGTACTTTAGTTGATAGTAAGAAACCAGTATGATGCTGTAGAAGATCAAGGTCCTTGGAACAACCAGTCTTGCCAATGTTGCAGGAAATTCACCCTGCAAACACAAACTATAATTATGACCCTTAGTGTACATTATGGGAGGGCCTGAATGCATAAGGATTCTGGTTGACAATGTCATGTTTTAAAAAAACGGACCTGGATTACAATGTTTAACATGTTTTGTAAAGAGGCAAAAATGTATGAGTGTGTCAGTGACTGTTTGTTGGGATAAAGACAGTTTTATATTGATATCTGCAGTTTTAACATGAATACCCTACTTTGACAGTGCATAATGACTCCAAGCAGGGTAAGAATGAATTACACCAAAAACTTCTGCCATATAATATTTATCGCAGCTTCGGTCAAATTATTTTATATCTAAATTAGGATGATTTTGAAGGGTTTAGGTACCTAATCCAATATGGTAGGTAGGTGTCCAGTGTAATGCATGTTTACCCAAAGCAGTCCTCGTTTCATCGCTATATCATGTTTTTGCTGAGCACAAAGCAGAGTAACAATGTCAACAACTAATATAACTGTTACCATGGTATAAATTAAGCTGGTAACGGGGTCATCTCCATAGTTCTAAACACACAAAAAACAAACATACCAGAACTTTCATTATATAGCATTTAAAATATTTATTCTAATCCAAGTAATTTTGGGAAAGAGTTCCTTCCGTTCCCCCAACTCTAAACCAAACTCTAAACCTAACCCTAAACCTAGCCCTAACTTAAATTTTGGACTTTTAATCATTTTGTGAGTTCTCTAGTAATTGTTGTGTTAAGTTTTGTTTATAATTCTAGAATATTTATACATATTATTTGGGATTGGGGAACGGGAGGAACTCTTACCAAATTTTGGATTACTTGTAATGACAGTCTATTACTATCAGGTAAACTTTGTCAAAAGCAGTGAGTGCCCAAACCCTGAGCATGATCAAATATGGAGGTCAAAATAAATACTATCAAAATATGTTCGTGCCACATGCAGAAATAAGAATAAAGTTCCTACCATTATTGGTTTTAAAGCACCAAATACCGCATTCCATGGTGCGTTATACATCCTCTTGAAAACATTCTTCGGTTTAATTTCCTCGATTATTCTTGGTTCACGGGGAGAAAGCTCTTGGTCTTTCACCCACTGACGCCGAAGCGCTCGATCAGATTCAGACATGCCATCTCCGCTCAATCTTTGGCGGTCGTATGGAAGAGGCTCGATGGAGAAAGGGGGGTACTGGCTGCCTTTGTAGAAATTATGCCTTTTCAGGCGTAAATCTTTTTGCCATGCCTTTTCAGGCACTGGGTCGACCGGTTTGTCCGCCATCTCGGCGATGGTGATGACCTTCAGGACAAGGGAGTTAATTTGTAATACAAGAAGTTATCTGCCCCTTGATCACAAAAGTAATGATTTTATGTGCGATTTATTAGGTTTGTTGATGGAAGTTGTTGACTGTGTATGCAACTAAATATAATGTGTATTCATGACAAATATCATCCGTGATGATTGAGTCAATTAAAATGAAAACCAGATTTTGTTCTAGGACTGTTTATAATAAAGAGAGCATATATTTCTCCAAACATTATATTTTGAAATACCACATTACTAAATTGTTTCTGACATATGACTAACATCCTTTAAACTTTCTAGAGAATTATTTTAGCATGGTTTGTTTTGGAATCGAGTTTACGAATAAATATGGTAGGCATAATACTGTATGATTTCAAGAAATTCTATTAATAATTAGGAATTTGAATTTAAAGTTCAAATTTTCAAAAATTCAAGAATAGACAAAGGGCAAGTATTACTACTGGTGATAACGCCTGTTGCTTTGTTTGTGTTTAACTTCTTTTAGAAGTTGTTTGTGTTGTTTAACACTCAGCTTTATTCCAAGGCAGAAAAGAGAGAACAGATATTGCTGGTCGACATGTTCTATACCATATGTAGCTTTGACAACTGTAGTGCATAGTTCAGACATTTTTCAAATTCTGTGGTAACTCATCGTAATGGCATCTTGATCTTGCTTGATTGTCTTTGATCTTTTTGTTCTTCCAAAGGGTATCAGAATGGCTATTTGTGCAATACAAGCTTGTTTTCTTGTACAATCAAGTGTGATGTATTTTCTTGCATTTTCCCAATTGTATGCACAATCTTATACCTATCTTTCCCTTTAGCAAAATAAACAACAAATACATACACTACCTTTCGATATTTTTAAATTGCTGTAGGGTTGACAAAAATATGTAAATCAATTTTTCTCTGCATCACATGCTTATATTTGTGGGTTACCAATCCAAACATCTCAGAGACAAGCATGGCCCTACCAAGAATTACCTCCCTTGTCAGCACATCCTGTACATGTCAGTTTCATCAACTTAAATGATTGAGTGAGTAAAAGATTGATTTTAGTTTTACACTGCTTTTACAAACTTCAGTGGATGCACAGCACACTTACATGGTGGATAATATAATATAATCCTGTTCAATAATTATCCTTGACTCAATTGTGACAACATTCACATATCCTTACTGAAATATATAATGCTCAAATGTACAACATTACTCAGCCATATTCTTTAAATATCATTCCAATTGAATTTATTGAATAGTAAAATAAAAACATGATCACAAATGATATCAAAATATTTTATTAAAAGCATTTCATTAAGGTGAATATCTTGAACACCATAATTTCAATAACAATCCTTCTTGTAAGTACTTCTAGTTTATCAAAGTTAAAATCATCCAAGATGATTACATGACAAGAAGACAGTCCTATATAGACAGAAGCATTATATACATTTATGTTACGAACATGTTCTTTGACCGCTCTGTAATATATCGAAACAAAATATTTTCCAATTGGAGAATAGAGTGCTGAAAGGCAGTTGTGTTACTGGCAACTGATTACAGTACATATGCAGTAACTTTAATCAGTGGATACATATATTCATAGTTGATTGAAAATGTTCTCAATCACTCCTCCAACCTTGATGAAAGTTTACTTTCTTGTTGCTTAACGCCGCACTCAGCAATATTCCAGCGATGTAGTGGCAGTCTGTAAATAATCGAGTCTGGACCAGACAATCAAGTGATTAACAGCACAAGCATTGATCTACACTATTGGGATACGATGATGTTTGTCAACCAAGTCAGTGAGCCTGATCACCCAATCCTGTTTGTCGCCTCGTACCAGCATGGGCTGCTGATGACCAATTCTAACTATAAAACTATAAAAAAACAACCAACATTTCTAGTCACATCATATTGTATATGCTACTTTTAGGCCATTTAACATTTTTATGGATATTTACATATCAACAGTTACTTTCAGAGTTGCAGGAATATCAGGGACTTATCACATTTGTGAGATGTCGTTCTGAAATGATAGGACCTCATGATGCAAAGGATGATATCATGTTTCCATGACAAATGAGCCTGTCGCTTGTCAGCATGTCAAAGTAAACTACTAAAGGTGTTCAGACCATATATTTATCAAATTTGATATCTAATGAATGTGGCATTCCTTTTGACATGTCTTTGTTTACAAGTTTATGACTGAGAAAAACAAATATAACAAGAAATGTATTAAGGAAGGATAACCATATATATGGATGAACAACCTCTTTATTACAGTGAGAGTAGTTGATGACCTGTTTTCAGCTCTCACTGTAATAATAATGAAACTGTTCATCCATATATTGTTACCCTTCCTTTCTGCTCCAATGTCTCTCAAAGAAGTTAAGAAAAGTATTCACACACAGTAGAAAGGCCAAAGGATTTCTGTGATCCAGTGCAACCTAGGGTGTTTCAACCAATCAAACTGAAGTAAATACTGGCACTGATTTTACAATAATCATGAATAAAGAAAGCACTTTGGGTTGTCTAGTATTTTGCACATGCATGTAGTGGTTCATCAACTGTCACTTGTGTGTTCTGGCAAGGGCTCGTTCCTGCAGATGATGGACATTCTCCTGTTTCGCGGGATCATCTGGCCCCGGAACATGGATTGGGATTCCGGGAGAACTTCATGAGTGTAGTTATATCTGGCCGCATCTCTGTGGAGAGATATGACCGTTATTTTTAAGTACATACAACGGTATTATTGATACAATACAGATATCTTTAAAACAAACACTTTGTACAACCCAGGAGGTTGCCATGTCCTACTTAGCTGACAGTGTGTCATATCTGCTAATACTCTGAGCTACTAGTTTGTACACTTCTACATGAGCAAGAGTTTTGATCTAAATGAGTTTAACTAACTTATATCAGCAATACTGAAGTGTTTTTCAGATTTTTTGTCAGAAGCTCAAAACTTGAATGAGTGAGTGAGTATGGTTTTATGCTGCTTTTAGAAATATTCCAGCAACATCACTGCAGGGGACATCAGAAATGGGCTTCACACTTCGAGACGCATCGATGCATGGCCCGCCGATACAGTGAATTGATACAAAGTTTTACATTGTCGTATATCCTGACAGGATACTTCAATTGGGCCACGATACATTGATGGTTAACTTTGAATATTGCTGAATCGTGATATCTGTTAAGAAAAAAAGACTTACTTTTGTTGGATGATTAAAATATATGCTTTCTTATTTTCTAAGTAAACATTTTTTCAGAAATTCTTGTGTCAAGAACTGAGTCGGACATAGTGCTCGCATTCGCATTCACAAAGTCTGTGTATAAACTTAATTATCTTGTTTTTGAATGAGCATTGAACAACGTTAGCGGAATTGGACAAAATACTTTAAAATGGTTTTGTTTTGATCTTAAGGTGTTCTATAGTTGGTGTTAGAATTGAAGATTTTACTATCGGGATACATATCGTATCGCCGCCCTTGTATCAGGCTTCATATCGTATCACAGCTTATGTGCACAATACTTTGGCAATATATCGTTGTGACTAAGTTTTATAATCGTGATGTATCGTAATGGAGGTTGTATGCCAATACCAGAACTACTTCACACATGGTACCAATGTGTGGAATCGAACCCGGGTCTTCAGTGTGATGAGCAGACACTTCAACCATCAGGCTACCCCACCGCCCAGGCTTGAATGAACAAATGCAACCTGTCAATCATCTGAATGTACAATTTAAAAAAGATCCTTATCCAACCACATCCTTTCTTTTCAGGAATGTTTTGTAGGTAGTTATATAATCTCCCAGGAAATAGCTAGCCCCCAAACTGAACGCTTTTAAAAGTAATTTCCATCACTGAGTGTATGAGTGAGTGAGTTTGGTTTTACGCCACTTTTAGCAATATTCCAGCAACATTCCAGCAATATCACGGCAGGGGGCACCAGAAATGGGCTTCACACATTGTACCCATGTGGGGAATCAAACCCGGGTCTTCAGCGTTATGAGCGAACGTTTTAACCACTAGGCTACCCCACCACCCCTCCATCACTGACATGAATAGTATATAGGTTTATCTGTTGTACATGGCTTACTTCATGATGTAGAGTGATCTCTGTCTGAGGAGGATGTTGGCAAATTTGTCCTTGTCCTGCTCATGTACCAGCTTCATCACAGCCGATGACAGCAGACTCAGGCCGGCAATTGTATTGCCACAAAACTGCAACGTACAATCTACTTTGTTAGTCTCAGTCTTAAAATATATTGATAATTAAGATCCAAACTGGAACTTACCTAGTTTTATGTTATTTTTTTTTTTATGCAAATATTTTATTTCAATATGTACATGTCACATCTTTTCAATCATAAAATCTTTCATACTTTGAATACCATTCTAGGCATTCATTTTCAAATCCAAATTCTTCCTCAAAATATATTGGTCCACAAATATACATATATGACAAAAATAGCACTTACAGGGTAATACTGCATTAAACAAAATATACCAAAGAAATTGCACTGTGAATAAATGTACAGTTAACAAAGAAACCATAAACCCTTCTTATGCATGAATTGGTGCCAACAGAAGATGAGATGGGGTCTTGACATCTTCTCTTCTCTTCTCTAATTAATTTATTTAATATCTAACAAGTGAGGGATCAATACTACAGTAGAACATGGATACAAACTTCTTGTTAGCAGAGTAGTCAGTTTGTAATATATGTTGCTCAATGAAAATGTACAACGAAACATAATAAATGCAACAGTGACTTCTTGTTGACATATGTTTTATGTTTAATGTTAATCTACTGATGAGAAGAGTTTAAGCACACAAGCACGAAACATACCATTTTGATACTGATTTTAAGGGTCAAGTTTGGGGGTCAGCTTATCTATGAGGTTGGCTTATCTACGGTAATATACGGTAAGATGAATATGGGAGTCACAGTAGTCTGAGGTACTGTTTCAGGAGTTAAGTTCCATAGTCAGTCCAGGATTTACTGTTTGTAGGTATTTAATGGCACTGAAGAAATGGTTAATGATGAAAGTGGTGTTATTTCATCTTACCCTGACAGCATCTATATGTGGTTTTATGTAGCCTTCTTTGGAGATGTCCAGGACATGAATGTATGCTAGTTGAGGGGTACCAGGTGGGAAGGATAAATCTTTCACTCGCTGTAGGATTGCCATGTTCCTCTCATTCCACTTACGCCGTTCAGTCTCACGGTAACCATGGATTGCCTGAAATGTAACAAGAAGTCAAATAAGCATGCCATGGAACACTCCTCAATTTGTTTCATCCATTATCCAATTAACTGCTCTTATGACTCCATATTTTGAAGCCAATAAATACCTGCAAAAAGTTGCCTTGGTCGATGACAAAGTTTGTGGAGCCCAATATTAACCCAGACACTCATTGGGGTACTGGCAACGGTCAACAGGATTGTATCCTCATAATGACCCAAAATATTCATATTTCCTTAGGGTCATAATCAACTACTCACATCATCCCAGTGATCCTGTTCATAACGAAGACGTTTCATATAGGGTTCTACTTCATCAAGTAGACATTTCTCCTCCTCTGCAGACAGGAAGTTTTCATGGATGATCATATCTCTGGCCAGGATGTCATCAGTTGCAGCATCGCTAGCATCCAGGTACCGATGGAAAGGTTTAGCTTCTTCTACTACAGTGGACCTGTTCCTGGTGCTGTAGTGCAATGTCTGTGAGCCACATGATACTAGGTGGCGTCTCGACTTACACCATGACCTCAGTACTGACTTGGTTAAAGCACATCTGACTGCAGGTGAAACAAAGGCTGACATTTCGACTTGGTCCAGTCAGACACTGGTTCTGAAATGAAGATATATATATGCAATCATATACATGCACAACAGGTTCCTGTCAGATCATATTTCACAATGATGCACTGATGTTTCTATGTGAGAAGGTCAGTGAAAATGTAGCCTTTTTTCTAGGTAATGCGATAAATGAGACCAACAGACACACTGTGTTTTTGCTACTTGACTCTCTGACTTAAGGATGAGGATATCTAATGAGAACTTGACCCACTGCCTAGACTACCTATTATTTTTTTATATTTATGATAAATACAGGAAACTGTTTTCATTTGACCTTCAGTTGTAGTTTATGCCCGATGAAATCAGTGGCGTTTTTGCTGAGGTGTCATTTATGCCTGCACCCAATTGTCTGGTTGGTTATTGATACACTAAACCCAGGTTATTAAACTTGAATTGCAAGCTACCTAAACAGTCCTGCTAATGATCAAAGTATTGCAGGATTGTTGGGATACAGCATTTGAGCTGCACATACCCTTGCTACTTCCATGTCATCTTTATGGATGAATATGTCTCCATTTTTCTTTTGTCACATTTGTTTTGGGGTATTTTATATATTTTGGCATCATATTAATTACATATCTACGGATGACATGTCTGCCGATTTGACTAAATGTACACTGTACATGGATCATACTACAGGCTGTAGCACCAGTTGAGCGCTGACCCCCGTCCGTAACATAAACTAAAACACGACTACCCATTAATCCGGGATCTTCAGCACATGTTGACCCAATTCAATTTTATAAACAAACCGAGCGCAAAAACCACCCTGTGTTGTGTATAACACCATTTCAACTTGTAAGAACCTTTCTTAATTCGTCTGCTGTCTAAACTTCTCGCACATGTCACAACCCGGAAGTAAACGACTTCTGAGTAACCCTTGAATAATATATTATTAGGAAAAGGTAGTGCTAATGGAGCAGACAGAACAAATAATTTACTATTTATTTCAACATCAATATGTAATTACCTATACTAGTCTTAATTTTAATTTTACATACAATGTCTCGTCATTTTGATAAATGAAAACAAATAGCTTTATATCATTATACTTACAATTATTACTCCCTTATATCCGGATTTTAATGTTACATTTCCGGTGCGCCATGAAGCACTGCGCAGTTACTCATGGCAACGGATGTCAACGATTGTTGATGCAGTTCTTCAACTGCAGTCGGTTGTTTTGGGATTTTAACAAGATAACCATAGCGGTAGGTGTTAGGTTTACGGAAATAACGCATAGAGAATAGCATTTGTTCTTACAGTGAATGCTGTCATCATTGAAACAGTCCATGTTTCTCATTTTGATATGTGTTTCGTTTGTAACATGAAAAATACATTGCAATAGGTATGCATAGCTACATAATTAGTTGTTGAACCCTGTTTAGACTTGAGACACTAGCAAGTAACTGTTTCCCGAATTTATGGTTTACATGCTGGAAAGCAGATGCATAATGACTGATATCTATTGACCAAGATCACTTATATACCTTTGCCTATTTAGGTGAAAGCCTAGATTGCAGAGTAAGGATACCTTTTCGCCAATTTGGTGGGGAGTATGTTAGATTCTTCCTTTCGTTTACTACATTATTTATGGTTATATTAAATTTTGTCAGCAGATGGGTTATGTTCTCACTTACAAAATGTTTTTACAACTTCTAATCTTCATCTTGTTGATGCAAATGCTTCAATAGATATAAATTACTCGGGCATGTGCAAGGATGAAGTACAGGTTGTGTTTTTGTTTTGTTATAGCTTTGAAAAAATCCATAAACATCCAAAATGTCGATAGCCATCGCCCAGGCCAGACACATCTTTGGCCTGAAGCCAGGTGTGACAGGAAACATATGCTACCATGATGAGCAGACTATTGTATATCCCTCTGGATCCAACTGTATCCTGTACAATACGGACCAAAAGGTACAGAAATTCATACCAGGAACAGACAAATCTGAGGGAATGACAGCCCTTGCTGTCAGCCCAAACAGAAGGTATGTTGCGATCGCAGAAAAGGGAGAGAAACCAACCATCACAATATATGATCTCCATTCCCTGAGGAAGAAAAAGGTACTGACATCACCAGATGTTCAGTCTGGGGAGTATGTCAGTTTGGCATTCTCTCCAGATTCCAAGTACCTGGTAGCACAAGGTGGTAAGCCTGACTGGACTCTGTTGTACTGGACATGGGAGAAGTCTAAAGTGATGGCCACAGCTAAAACATCCAATCCTCAAAATACAGCTGATGTGTACCAGGTTAGACTTTTACATTTACTTTTTTCATACACTGTGAATATAAGAGAATGTTTCCTTTCATTAAATCAATGCACATACATGTATTATGTTTAACATGGTATATATGTTTGTGCATAACTCTTTTGGAAATATAACTACCAATATACTGGTATTCTTCATGATTAAAAATGTTGCTGAATCCATTTGACATGATATTCATGTACAATACAATGTATGATTTTGTTGTTGATAAAACAATCATTGAATTCTTGTTTTGGTAAGAATGAGTTTTCTTTATATAAATGTTAATGTCTGGCTTGATTATGAAAGTAGTACTTCCTTAAGTTGGATCTGCTACAAGAACCACTGAAAGCACAGATTTGGAGCAGGTGTCATGTAATTTGTGTTATTAAAGAATTACATGTGCAGTATTATTACTCACCCGTTGAAGATATCACTGTTTAATAAATCTACAATGTTGGTACACATAATGTGTGATAAGATAAGATATAACTTTATTATCCCAGAGGAAATGTCATAACATTGCAGGATGCCGGACGTATGACGTGATAATGGTTTACAGTTATGACATCACAATGCTAATACCTATGTAGCAATGGTATTAGACCATGCTTGACTTGTGGAAAGCTGAGAGTCATCATGCAGTTTGCAGTTTCTATCAATTTATGTTGGAGAGTAATAAACAGAATACTGAACTAGCTTCCATTAAATACCATTTAGAAAACTTGTGAAAGCGTTAGTATCTTTTGATACCAAGTCATTAACTTGTTTACTAAAAATGGTATTACACGGAATGTCGTTTAGTATCCTCTATATTGATTAATTGATGCCAATCAAGTATAACACAAGAAGGCTTCATCATAAACCCATGCAATTTCATTGTTGATCAGGTGAGTTTCAACCCTCAAGACAACACACAGCTGTGCGTCATTGGCAATGGAATCTTCCGTCACTTCCGCTACAGTGAGGGCAACCTCAAGCCCTTCCCCTTCCAGAAGATGGAACCCCAGAACTTCCTGTGTCATGCCTGGGTATCGGAGGAGAGGGTGGTGGTTGGCACTGACACTGGCCGACTCCTGTTGTTTGAGGCTGGAGAACTGAAGAATGAGTTCAATGCTGGAGCTCTCAAGGAGGAAAAGTAAGGAGTTCAACCCAACATTATTCTGCCTGTTTCAGTATCACCTTAAATGTGGAAAGCCATGATGATGATCTTTATCATACTTACGAAAATAATACCATGCTATATGACTTACTCTTGATATTGCATTATTCCATGATTTGTTTGTTTGTTGTTTAACGCCTCACTCAGCAATATTCCAGCTCAAAATAATTGGTGGTGGTCTGTAAATAATTGTGTCTGGACCGGACAATCCAGTGATCAACAGCATGAGCATCAATCTATCATTTGGTATACGATGACATGTGTCAAACAAATCAGCAAGTCTGACCACCCCATACCATTAAGCCATCTCTTGCGATGAGCATGGGTTTCTGAAGACTGATTATAACCCAGATCTTCACGGTTCATTATTCCAAGATGGGAATAGGGTAAACTGTATGTCCCCTTATATTTGTCAGCTCTCTATTTATTGATCAGCACAATCTTCTGACAACATTACATATAAAAACTCACTGGTACATGATGTTACTGTTTTAATAATATTTGTGGTTGATGTTACATTTATGCTGTTTACTGAAATATTTTGAACACCTGAGGCGTGTTCAGAACCGCGAGTGCCCGCGAACGCTTGATCCTGAACGCATGTGCCCGTTCGAGCACACGGGAACCATCCTCACAGCTGCCTCGCCAAGCGAACCAAGATGGCGACCATGTTTAATGTCATTCGTCACCACTCGCCCCTTTCCGTAACCTCCAACAAGACAAGAAGCTATTCGGCTTGTCCCGGAATAACACGAGTTGGTCACGAATGGTTTAATGTTACCATGCGCTCCGCGTCCGTTCAGGGCCTAGCTTTTCGAAGCTCTCTTACCGTTAAGATAGTCGTAAGTCTATGTTAATGTATGGCACTTACAACTATCTTAGCGCTAAGAGAGCTTCGAAAATATAGGCCCAGGGCTGACGCGAGCGCTCACAGGAGGCAATAGTGCAGGTGCTCACGGTTCTGAACACGCCTCTGATGTGTGACATGTTGTTGTTGAATAAATGTGTTCTTTATTTCAACCAATGACATCATTGACTGGTTACAGGAAAGATAGTCTAGATGATGGCAGCCAGCCAAGTGGCCCACCCCAGATCTCTGCCATCGTGGCCTACTCCAAGGGTTATGCGTGTGCTTGTGGACCTGGCCTTGTTCATCTTTTTGAGAAGACTGATGACAAGGATTTCTTCAAGAAGGCCAGGGACATCAAGGTATCAAAGTTCTTTTCATCTAAATTTCCTATCTCTACATTTATTTCAGACAGTTTTGTTGTAGAGTGAATATTTCCAACGGTAATTTCAAAGACTAATTCATCTCAGCACATGAGAGTATTAATGACTGCTTGGTGAATAAATGTAATGTTTATATATATATAATGTTTAGTGTGTCTTTTTGTTGTCATTGTTATCATGGTCATTTTTCAGATCCCAGCTGACCCTAACAGCTCCGACCCCACAAAGTCCCAGCAACAGATCATCAGATGTCTGACCGTTAGTCCATCTGAGGAGACACTTGTGGCCAGCACAGATCTCAGCCAGCTGTACTACCTCACCCTCTCGAGTGCTGATCTCGGCAAGGTAACTTACTTGTCATACACACCTTTAGCTTTGAGTACCCTTTCTAAAATACTGTATACAGATTCCTTTACATTGAGTGGGAATTAAGTAATTATTTTTGGTGTTTAACACTGCAATATTCCAGCTCTATGGCGGTGGTCTGTAAATAATCGAGTCTGGACCAGACAGTCTAATGATCAACAGCATGAGCATCACTCTACCATTTGGTATATGATTTCATGTACAAAATCAATGACCCCGCTACCCCTTCCCATAATTTTTATGCATAATTTTTTAATATTGTTGTGTACAAAATTGCTGATCCCCCTACCTCCCAGAACAGAAATCCCTAGTACTTTAGTTTGTGCCATCAGATTATGATGAAACCAATTGTTGACACACTGTTTTTGTACCAGGGAGACCAGGCGACATTTGAGGTGCTGGCCCAGAGCTTCCACTACAGCCAGATCATGGGCCTGGATGTGTGTATAAGGAAACCCCTTATTGCCACCTCGTCCCTTGACAGATCCGTCCGAATCTGGAACTATGAGACATGGTCAGTAGTACCTGATTGTTATATGAGCATCTGATAAAGTCGTCTTCATCTGTGCACCATTACTGTGTTGCATATGAAGAGAGAAAGATATTTGGCTGAATGTAGATTTGAAGTACTGTTTATATTCTGTACTATTTTATTTTGACAGGCTTTGAAAATGTACAAAATGTTGTTTTCATGGTCAGAAAATGAAAACTGTAATGAGGCTGAAGAATTCTTGATTTTCTTTTAAATAATGCTCAAGATAGATGGTAAACAAGGAAGATGATGATTATTTGACTAAATTCTGAATCATCAGTTTGGTCCTCTTGTTTACAGTAACCTGGAGCTGTACAAGGAGTTTGCGGAGGAGGCGTTCAGCATTGCGCTACACCCGTCTGGCCTATACATCCTGGTTGGCTTCAGTGACAAGCTTCGTCTCATGAACCTTCTCATCGAACATCAGGACGTTCAAGGAGTTCACTGTCAGAGGATGCAGAGAGGTGGGTGTCATGAGATACTAGACTGATTTCTTTTGTTGTGATGGTTAAATTTCAGGATATTTTTCATGGTTTGCTTAGTTTATTGTTTAACGCAGCGCTCGGCAGTATTCCAGCTATATGGCGGTGGTCTGTAAATAATCGAGTCTGGACCAGACAATCCAGTGATCAACATCATGAGCATCGATGGATGCAAATTGGGGTACAATGACATGTGTCAACCAAGACTGCAAGCCTGACCACCCTATCCCGTTGGTCACCTTTTACGACAAGCATGGGTTGCTGAAGACCAATTCTAACCCTTTCTACCACTTAGACCCATACATGAGAATGCCACATCACTGTAGCAACTTGCGGCAAAGTTGTGGAAAAACTGCGGTAGATGTGGAAATAGTGCGGAAAAAATGTGGTTTAGTGAATCCGCATCAAGCCGCATCTCTCTTTGCGGAACATATGCGGCTTTTTTAATTTAGTTTTTTTCTGCGGCTTTCAACTCTGAATTTGACATCATCTGGAAACCCTTCTCATTTTTTCTAAGCCCAAATTACCGCAGTGCAGCAATACTGACTTAGAATATTTTTCACTATAACTTTTTTTTTAACTAAATTCTTTTTGCATGCGGTAATGTCTGCGGAAAAACTGCGGATTACAGCATGTGTTGCAGAATTCTCACATAGGGGCATTAAGGCACTTAGTGGACCTGACATTGACAAACTCAGATGAGTTGACTGGGTTTTAGTCTTGACCTTGCTACTCATGTCCTGGTTTGTTAGACTGTACCTTTTAATTTGAAAATAAAAATTCAGAATAGGGGCAGTGGAAAAAATTCTTTGTCATTTCATATCTTATTTCCAGGGCCTGTTTCACAGTGTGATCAAATTGCTATGGCTGTCCTAAATCTAAGTTTAAGTACAGGAATTACCATCATCTTAGTGCTACAGTGCCAGGAAATAAAGACAAACTTGTACTGTATATCTTGGTTACAAATCAGCATCGACCGCCTTCGTGGTGTAGTGGTTAGAGCGTCCGCCCAGAGAGCGGAAGGTCGTGAGTTCGATCCCCGGCCGGGTCATACCAAAAGACATTAAAATATGATATTTGTTGGTCCCTGCCTCATGGCGCTCGGCATTAATGGGTACAACAAGGACTGGTCGGCTCGGAGTCAGTATAATGTGTCTGAGTGGGGAATTGCGGCATGGCATCTCAGTGAGCTAGCACTATAAAACCAGCTTAAGTCTGGGCTAGTACAAGCAGCCACACATACACATTCATACACTTTGTGGTATGAGTGAAATATTCTCAAGTACGACATTAAACCCCATTTCACCTCACCTCACCTCACCTAACCTCATCTCACTCATCAGCATCCATTCATAAAATTCCTTCAGTATCCTTCAGGATAATTGAGGCTTCAAATTTCTTTCTATAAAAGCTCATATTGACAAAAACATCAGACTGTCTCTATAGATCATAAAACACTCTATTTCTCTCTCTTGTAAACTTCAACAGAACTCTTTTTTTCATCTTCATTTATCATGGGTGAAACTACTTTTTCTTCAGTGTGCATTCAGCAATGGCGGCCACTTGTTTGCTGCTGTCCATGGCAACGTCATTCAGATTTACTCCACCACAACGTTCGAGAACGTTTCCAACCTGAAGGGTCACAACGGCAAAGTGCGATCCATTGTCTGGAGTTTCGATGATGCCAAGATCGTCTCCTGCGGCATGGACGGTGCTGTATATGAATGGGATCCTTACAGCGGCAAGCGTCTGGCAGAAAGTGTCCTCAAGTCATGCAGTTACACTGGCGTAGCTGTCAACAATGATGGCAAAACAACATTCGCTGTAGGATCTGACAAAAGCCTCAAAGAGATAGCCGATTCTTCTGTGAGTATATTTTCTTCAGAGACATTCTCACATTGAACATATTCAATCAGTGTATGAAATTACTCAAACCTGCATGTAACTGTTATCAAGAGCTCTATCCCTGAGCAAAGTTTAGTATTAAAAAACGAAATGTTAGAATGATATGAATTATTGTAAAAGTTGATAACAGGTTAAGACAGGGGTGCTCCCTGGCTGCTATCCTTTCCTGCGTTAAAATATTTGCTTCCGAAACAGACAAACCCACATGGTTTTCGTATAAAAAATTTAAATGTTAAATTATATTTATATGATTTAAAACAAATTTGCTTGGATTGATATTTTACCTGAGCCTTGTCTTCCTTTAAAGGTAGCCATTCATCACTCATGTCAAGTACTGCTTAATCCCAAAATGTTGCTAACAGCATTTCTTCCAACAAGTCCTCAAGCAATTTCCTCAATGGTCTTGTATGATGTATGTTATTTTCAGCTTTGTTTGTCATGTTTCTGTACAATTTCAAAATGAGGTATTTTTGATTAGATTCTTCGTGAAGTCCCATCTGGTGAAATGACCATGACAAACGTTGCCCTGTCCCACTCCGGCCGGATGCTGTTCACCGGTACTCAGCGGGGAACGTTGTGGTCGATGAAGTTCCCACTCACCATTCCAGGGGAGTGGCAGGAGCATCAAGGTCACAGTGCCGCTATCACCAAGGTAGGCACACCTTAGTTTGGTTGATTGGCTGGTTGTTTAACACTGCACTCAGCAATATTCCAGCTATGTGGTGGCGATCTGCAAATAATAAAGTCTGGACCAGACAATCCAGTGAAAAGCAGTCTGTTCTGAAAGGGTAAAAGATCTGAAGCTAATGTCTCTTTACATTTGGTTTGGTATGATGTCCTTTTGACTATATATCGGAAACCACAGAATATTGTAAAATATATAATATTTTGCAATCATTTTTAATGTCCATTCCTATAAGTACACTACATCAAAATGTTTCTTACTTGCCCAATTCTTTTAAATCAGTTCAGTACATTTTTGTGTTACTATATTGATTATTGCCATCTGTGCGAACTTCACATAAAGAAACTGTATTAAGATTCAGGCTCCAGACAGTTGTTAAGCTTGTAAACTACACTTGGGTAATGGTTTTGTGAATGTTGGACGTTTTTCTTGCTTTGTTGTCTTCATACAGTGGACATCACATTCTGGGATATTTTGGGCTCCATGCTGACAAGAAGGCATGCTCTGAAAACTGAGCAGTATGCATTGTGGGTGTGGTTGTTCACAATCTTTGATGCTTTTTCAGATGAAGATCACATTTGATGACCAGTTCCTGATCACAGTATCAGAGGATGCCACCATCATCCTATGGAAGATCCAGGACAAAGAAGGGCGGGGCCTCAAGAGGGACAAAGAAGTGGGCTGGGCCGAAGAGATTCTCATCACAAAGAGTGACCTTGAGGAGAAGGTGAAGCTTTGTCAAAATCATTGCAACACCTGTGTTTTTCCCCATTGTTAATATATCATCGGAGGCATGGCTTGGAATTAATTATGAAAAATGCCATATAGCATGATGATAAGGAAAAACATATGGAAGAACTTGGTAGGAGACCGTTCATAATTTATGGCTAGGGGCTGATGATTGATTTTAATGGAGAAGCATGTACAATGTGAATGACCCCAACCCCCAACCCCCTTAAAATGTATGTACAAGGGCAATGACCTCCCTCCTCTTCCCATACTTTATAAGCATAATCTTTCAACATTTTTATGTACAAAATTGCTGACAAAACACACCCCCCAGTCCATGTGTACAATATTGATGACCCCCTACCTCCCCAGAACAAAATGGTGACCCCCTTAAAATCATCATCAGCCACCCCCACCCCTAGCCATAAATTATGAACAGCCCCTAAAGAAGAAGCAATTTTTCTGAAATGCCACAATATGGTATCAATAAACATGATACCCTTTTTTCACACAAGAAATGATACTTATCTTACCAACATCAACATCAACAACAGGGTAGAATGTTTGGCTCGTGTGTATGTTTAAGATTTGTATCATACCTGTGTTTTAATATTTGTATCATACTTGTGACTACATGTACACAATGGCAGTTTCAGCTTTGTTATAGAGCATTGTTGTTATTGTTTCCAGAACTCCAACATGAGTGAGCTGAAGACACGTGTGGAGGAGCTGAAGATGGAGAACGAGTATCAGCTCCGCCTGAAGGACATGAACTACAATGAGAAGATGAAGGAACTGACAGAGAAATTCATCCAGGAGATGGAGTCGCTCAAAACCAAGAACCAGGTCAGTGAGTCAGGGCCATCTCCTCCAGCACTGCTGATGATGAATGAATCTACTTCTCAGACTTCTTATGAATATACTGCAGCAACTCATTCCAGCCGTTTCCTCAGTTATGCAACCTGGAACATTCAGAACAGGAGGAATAATGGAATTGGAACTGACCTTGAATTTTTTGTCCTCAGGACCAGCAGCTTACCTTTCCTAAAGTAATTGTTACAAAAAATCAGTTAAAGAATATAGTGTAACCTAACCTTCAGGACTTAATTAGAATGTTTATTTATAACTTATGAATTGTTTAGTAATATTGATCAGAGACTGTTGTTATACATGACATTTTGCTGTGCAGGTTTTGAAAACAGACAAGGATAAAGAGGAGGCCAAGCATGAGGAGGAGATGTCCGAGCTGATGGAGAAACATGCAAAGGAGTTGCAGGATCTCGGTGAGTGTAGGATTTCATCAGTTTCATATCACTGGCCTAATAGTTTCAGTGTTGTTTCCTGGTTGATCTCAGTCATTTTCAAAACATCCAAGCAAAACCTGTTTTGAAGCCTCTTTCTTACTCAGTCCCTCTCTGTTGCTGCAGAGTCTGCCAACAACCAGAAGCTGATGCTAGAGTATGAGAAGTTCCAGGAACAGCAGGCCAAGATGATGAAGATGCAGGAGGACTACGAGCGGCAGCTGCAGGAGATGGAAGAGAGCAAGGAGCATGCTCTGGAGGAGCTGACTGAGTACTATGAGACTAAGCTACAGGAGGCCACCAACAAGCTGGAACAGGTCAGTCACAGAGCAGACGGAGAAGAATGTTTAGGGATGTGAGACACTGTTTTGCCTTTTGATAATGCTATTAATGTGCTGATTATGAGGTGTTGTCAATAAACAATATTCATGATTATTATTTTCAGAAATAAATAAAAAATACACTGATGTTTTACTTTGAAATTATCCTCTTTTGATTGAATAGGCAAACGATGAGTCTCGCCAGCTGAGTCGCGAGTATGAGGAGACCAAGCGTCAGATTGAGGAGGATGCTGACAGAGAAATCCTGGACATGAAGAACAAGTATGAGAGGAAGCTCCGGGATGAGAAGGAGGCTAACATGAAGCTCAAGGGAGAGTCAGGCATCATGAAGAAGAAGGTGAGGAACCATTTTCTTCTGGATTCAAATTTGTATGGATGCATATTATCAAATTAGGAGACATCATCAGAATTTGAAATTTATGAAATGGATGGAGATGACACATTATGGTTGGAATGATTCTAATCACAGCTTGGTGCCATGTCTTCCATGTAGCCCCAGCCTGTAAATACAGAGCTGTTAGTGTTCATCTGTAAGTGAAAGTGGTCCAACGAATGAATAAATGTGTTTGCTGCTATCTGTTTAGTTCACCAGTCTGCAGAAGGAGATCGACGACCACAAGGAGGAGATCAAGAAGTTCCAGGCAGAGACCAACAAACTGAACAACATCATCCGCAACTTGGAGAAGGACATCCAGGGCCTGAAGAAGGAGATCCAGGAGAGAGACGACACCATTCAGGATAAGGTCAGTCCCAGTGTCTTCAGTGTCTGTGGCTCTTCTTGAAAATGGAACACTGTGGTCAGTAATGTCTGCTCGGTCAAATTCAATGACAGAAATTAATGTAAGAGAAAAGAATTTAAAACTGACTTTAATCTGTTTCCTGCATGTGTGTTGTAGGAAAAGCGTATATATGATCTGAAGAAGAAGAACCAAGAGTTGGAGAAGTTCAAGTTTGTTCTGGACTACAAGATCAAGGAGCTGAAGAAGCAGATTGAGCCCCGAGAAAATGACATCAAGAACATGAAGGAACAGATCCAGGAGGTGGGTTCTGAAGAAAATGTCATCTCTTGGTAGTTCTTAATCTGAACTTGATACAGCAACGTAGTATGTTAATCATCCTTGGGTATTGTGCGTCTTGTTATTGGGATAACATGTTCAATATTCTTCTTCCAGATGGAGAGTGAGCTGGAGAGGTTCCACAAGCAGAACACACAACTGGAGCTGAATATCACCGAGCTGAGACAGAAGCTGAAGGCCACAGACAAAGAGATGCACCAGGAGAGACAGAAGGTACGGAGAATGTGGTGGTGTCTTAAGAGTGGGGTGAGGGTTGGAAGGATTTGTGGTGCCTTGAGGGGTGGGGTGAGGGTTGGAAGGATTTGTGGTGCCTTGAGGGGTGGGGTGAGGGTCGGAAGGGTTTGTGATGCCTTGAGGGGTGGGGTGAGGGTCGGAAGGATTCTGCGGTGGGGTGAGGGTCAGAAGGATTTGTGGTGCCTTGAGGGGTGGGGTGAGGGTCGGAAGGATTTGTGATGCCTTGGGGGTGAGGGGAAGGTAGGGGGGTGGGGGCACCTTGGGGATGACTTTGGCAAGTGTATGGGTAGGTAGAGCATGCCTTGCCTTGAGGCTGTGGGAAGGAGTATATGTGGTGCATTGAGTGATGGGGCAAGAAATAGGACGTAGGATCTTGGGTGTTAAGGTGATATCAAGCTGATGAGCTGGGAGGATGATCTAAAGTTTGGTATCGGGTAAAACAAACACACACTACTTTTATTAAAAGGCTTGATAGCTAAAAAGAGACACATTTGAGATGTAGATATTTTCCAATCTACTTATCCAAAACTTGTAAATAAGATGTCATGGTTTCGGTATTCAAAGTAGCACAATAAAGGGCAGCCATGTCTTTAGTTGAGATGTATATTTGAAGCAAGCTCGTTTGTCGTCCTAGGTGCGTGATGTTGAGGCCATCGTCCGCCGCTTCAAGACCGACCTCCACAACTGTGTGGGCTACATCCAGGACCCCAAGATGCTGAAGGAGAGCATCAAGGCCCTGTACCAGAAACACGTCCAGGAGGACATTGTGAGTACTTGTACTACATACCATCTGCCACAGAGGTTAGAACTGGGATCCACTGAAATTTACTCGACTGCAGTCGATTGGGAATTGTTTTGCAGAGCCATTGCAAAATGTAGTTAGATACATGCATAAAACAATCATAGCATGCATAAGTTGGAGTTAACAGAAGCTTTATATTTGTTCAGACATATGTAAATCAAATGGAATGCATGCATCTTCAGAAAGAAATGGAAACATTAGTGACATGTACAGTAACCATAGAGTCATAGGGAATATCTTTAAACAATGGGCCCGGGTATTCCTGTGAGTACCAGGACCTAGATTTCCAAAGCTCTCTTAGCGGTAAGATAGTCGTAAGTTAATGTTAAGATATGGCACTTATGACTATCTTAGCGCTAAGAGAGCTCAGAAATCTAGGCCCTGGTTCCTACTCGATACCCATCCAACACAAGTACCTGAGTTACCAATGCCATGCCAATAACTATGTACTTTGAGGACTAATACAAAACACTCTGGAGCACTCTGGGGGACAGTAACGACAGGCCTGTGTGTGCATACACTTGAATCATGCTTCATGTCAGTGTCTTTTTAAAGATACAGGCAGGGCATTAATAATGATGAGAGCTATTTATCATAAACTGACGTACAAAAGAAAGTACACAACTGGTGTTTTGGGATTATTTGAAAAGTGTTGTGATTTTGACTGGCAACGTCGCAATTGGGCACGATATCTGGTGTTTTGGCAACATATTAGGAATGTCTGTGACTTAAAAACTCTTTTCAAAACATTTACGTCGCTTTTTGGAAAGTAATCCAAAAGGTGTGTACTTTCTTTTGTACGTCAATTTAGTTGTGCCATTATGACAAAGCAGTCTCTGATTGCATCATCTGTGTAATGAAGGAACAATGTTTGAGATGGTGTCGTGCCAGTGGTCAATGTAAGTCCCCATGTAATGTTGTTTGTCCGTCCTGTGTAGACGGAGTCAGCCAGTGTGGATGCGGACATCCAGAAGGAGTACAGCAGACAGAGAGAGCACCTGGAGAGATCCGTTGCCTCACTCCGCAAGAAGCTGGAGAAGGATTCCGAGATCCACAAAGCTGACAATGTCAGGATCATGCAGGTACGTACAAATAGAAATGCCAAGCTTATATGCTGATTGGTTTAGTTTGATTGGAATTCTTCAAAGGGGCAACAGGTTGCAGAGTCAACAAAGGGGCACAAAGGGGCACATGTGTTGCAGAGTCAACAAAGGGGCACAGGTTGCAGAGTCAGGTTGCAGAGTCAATAAAGAGTCAACAAAGGGGGCACAGGTTGCAGAGTCAACAAAGGGGCACAGGTTGCAGAGTCAACAAAGGGGCACAGGTTGTGTAGCATGCTCGTTTTGCAGAGTCAACAAAGGGGGCACAGGTTATTTCCAAAGGCAACACAATTCATTGGTTGTGTAGCATGCTCGTTTTACACTATTTCCCTTTTCCAAATTGAAACCATGAGTATGCCCGTTAAATATTAAAATCTGCCAAGTTGCTATGTTGAATGTACTTGCCTATTTAGGTTGAGGGATCAAATTCCAGATTGGCTTCTAGTATAATCCATGGTTTGTCAATACCAAACTTGTGCTTGTGACTTCGTCCCAGTGACAAATATGTCTGTCCTGCATCACCTGGGGCTTTCTCCCCTCAGTACGGGACACATATAACTGAAAAACTGTTCAAAGGTGTATAAAACCCAATACACTTAACAGTATGACTCCACTAGCTAGCTAAAGTTCCATGCTATTGGCTGCTGAATCACACAAAGATTTTTCCTCATCCCTTTAAGTAATCACTGTCTGGATTTCAGGCAGAGTAGGTTCCCATGTAGTACCCTACGAGTCTAGCGAGAACTGACTAAACAAAACAAGGACTCAGTTGATTGGTTATTGTCTAACGCTGCACTCAGCAATATTCCAGCTATATGGCGGCGGTCTGTAAATAAACGAGTCTGGACCAAATGATCCAGTAATCAACAGCATGAGCATCAATCTACGCCATTGGGATATGATGACATGTGTCAACCAAGCCGAACCTGACCATCCAATCCTGTTGGTCGCCTCTTTGAACAAGCACGGGTTGCTGAAGACCAATTCGAACCCGGATCTTCGTAGGTCACAAGGATTCAGTATAGTGTGTGATCTGCATTTGTCACATTAGTTGTTGCTCATGGTGAAATTTCCCCAATACTACCCCTTGAAACAACAATCAGTTCATTTCACCAGTCTACACCTTCAACAAGTTCAGTGGATCCTTACATCTGTCATTTCTTTTCAGGAAAATGTGTCCCTCATCAAAGAAATCAACGACCTGAGGCGAGAGCTGAAGATAGCTCGCACAAGCATCCACGACCTTGAGGCAGCTCTTGGCCTTCACAGCAAAAACAACAAGAAGGCAGATACTGCAACCCTTGCCCAGATCACTGCCAAAAAACCCAAGTGCACTCATGGTGACAGATCTGGAAGAAAAGCTGAAGATTATTGAAATGCAGAGATTTGAGATCAAGCGGTTAAGAAATGAAATGAGTGAAATTGAAATGGGATCACGGCCGCCATCAGGCACCAAATTACAACCAATAATGGGGGCTGTGTGATAAAATATTGAAAAGGCTGTGATATTTTAAATGTAACATACCATAACAGTTGTAAATATGTGTAGCAACCGAATATCTTTATCATATTTTCCAATGAAAGTATTAATTGTGTTGTGACAAATATAATGTGAATTTCACATCCTTACAGAAAGAAATATATACATACAATGAAGTCAGTTGAATATTTTGGACAGGTTTTAATTATGTTTTATTCTGTTTTGTTCCTTTTGATTTATTCCATATAACAAAGTCCCTGTTTGCATTGATAAACTGATACAAATCCAACATCTGCAACTTTCTTATTGAAAAAATATTTCTCTGCTATTTTATTGGAGTCTGTCAGTATTTTTACATGAAGGTATAAACAATGGCTGTGATATAGTATTTATATTTGTGCTTCAATGGTGTCAGTATCCCGTTTCATGCCATGAAATGTATGTATTAAACATATTGAAGTATTTTTGGGGTCACAAGCTGGTGTTTTTACATATTAGCAGTTTCTGCAAATACTTCTGAAACTTTTGTTTTATGAAAAGTATTGAAATAGGAATTTACATATGTGAAGTTTTCCGTCCATGTACATTCACTTTGGAAGAAGTGTTACTGAGAACTGAGAAGTTATACACATTTTATTATACACATCAGCATTGTGAAATAAAGCATTGAATAGTGATGTAGTCGTTATATTCTTGTTAAGGCCAGACCAATTCTATTTCTTGTTTTATGGATCCGCCTGTCATATTTTTTAAAAAAAACAAAAAAAAATAATTTATTTTCCCCCGCTCAAAGAATAAAATCCTAATGTTTTCATTGGCCAAAAATGTAAACATACAAGAAATTATGTTGTTCGATTGTTTTTTGCCCCATATTCACTTCATAAATTGCCAAAAGTAACATACTTTGAGTATTTAGAAGGAATATTACTTTGACCAGTGATGTTGTTTTAATTTTATTTTTTCCCTCCTGCCTTTAGGTTTTCTGAGGACAAAAATCTGTGAAACAAGTAATAAACTTGGTCTGGCCTAACATAAAACATATATAGTTTTTTCAAACAACACGATTCTCATTCCATGCAAGGCCCTTTGAGTTGCTACAGATGGAATCTGTTAATATGAAGTTGCATTTGGGTGTGTTCTTTGTTTAATGCAGAGGGCAGTGGGGTAACCTAGTGGTTAAAGCGTTCGCTCATCACAACAGAAAATCAGGTTCGATTCCCTACATGGGTACAATGTGTGAAGCTCATTTCTGGTGTCTCCTGCCGCGATATTGCTGGAATATTGCTAAAAACGATGTAAATCCATACTCACTCACTCACTGTTTAATGTTGCAGTCAGCAGTATTCCAGCTAAATGATGGGGGAATGGTTCGATTCTGAGCCAGACAATTCAGTGGTCGAAATTGTGAACAACAATCCACACTGTTGGGGTACGATGACATGCAATGAACCAAGTTGTTGAATCTGACCACCCAATCCACTAACTTGCCTCTTATTACCAGTGAAGGTTGCTGAGGATCAGTCCTAACCAGGCATCCCAATCAGGGAAACGAGGGTACATGCATCTCCAGCAGCCCCATTGTGTGAAGTATATACATGTAGTTGGATTGCATTTTTGGTATAATTGAGCATCATGTGATCCTAATGAGTGAGTGGGTTCATTTTAAGCCACATTCAGCAATATTCCAGCAATATCACGGCAGGGGACACCAGAAATGGGCTTCACACATTGTACTCGTGTGAGGAATCAAACCCAGGTCTTCGCCGTGATGAGCATACACTTTAACCACTACCCTACTCCCCCTGATCCTAATGACCCACAGCTTCAGAGCCTTTTACGCCTTTTCTCAGCGGTGCAAAATCAATGTTCCAGCCAGACAGACAGTTTTATTTCAGTATATAAGGCCATGGCCCACATTACAGAATAATTTTACATTTCATTTGATGCTGGTAAAACCAGTAACAATCATACATTATTGCCTTTGAAAGCTATGGAACCATTTTTGCCTTATGTACAGGCATAATATACCCTTCTAAAGAAAAAGTAGCAATACTTATCAAAACATCATCCTTAGATGACACAAGTCTAACAAAACTATCCTTACACGGGTTACCAATATATGGGTATAGGTATGGTGGAAAACATTCTATCTTATGCATCTGTTAAACATTGACAATTAAATGGTATTCTTCTTCAACTACTGGTATAGCAATATAAACAGAGTCTATTACAGTACAGTGTATCATGCCTCCCTGTTACAGTTGGAGGTTGGAAGCTATTATATCTGGACTAGCTTAAAACATGTTTACAATACTGTAGAATATATCTAAGGAAATATATCTTTCAATTTGCACAAGTGTCATAAAGTGATAGTATGTTGTAACAATCATACAATTTTGCTTTGTTAAGTGTCTGGCATTTTTGCACAGTGTATAGGCATAACATATCTAAGAAATAACATATGGATCTTAATGTGTAGAATATTGACTGAAATTTATGCATTTCTAATTTTCTGAGCTATGCCTTGACAGGGTCTTGCCCAATAAAGATACGTGAAAGTTCTATAGCACAGTTAAATGTCACAGCTCAAGCAGTACCTACTGGTCAAAATATACCGAACATCATTGAAAACGCACCAGTCTAAAATTGTCCATATTTTCATCAAGATGAATTTCAGCATGACAATGATCAATGAATATAACTAACATGAAGTCCAAGGGCATGTCCAGTTGAAAAAATGCTTAAGAAACAAATTCCTGTCCACAGTATGACTCTTAATTCCAAATGCATCAACGTGCAGCCACGCCATGAAAAGCCAAATTTCATTCTGAAATCATACTGACTGTGACATTAAAAGCAGGTGTATGAGAACTGATTCTCATTGCTTCACTAACGATTGTGAAGCGAGGACAGAGATGCCAAGGTAAACATCTCCGCGAAGAGAGCGTGCACTAGGCATGATTCAGGTAGGCACCAGCAGCAGGGATATTGCTTTCGACAACTTGGACTTGGCCACTCCACCATCGTAAGGCTTCATAGAGCGACATCAGTAGACAGGCAGCACCGGTGACCTTCAATGACCTTGGCAACAGCGTGTTCGACGCTCCATCAGGATCGCCATATTGACCTTGTCCATATCAGTGATCTAACACTGCCGACTGCCAGGACTGCTGCACTAGTTCAAGGTTGGCGAGGGGGTCATCAGCGCTGACTCCATGCGGCGCCATCTACACGCTACAGGGCTCCATGCTCGATGTCCTTCACGTTTGACCAGTTCTGACTGACAGACACCGTAATGAACGTATACAATGGGCTAGCAGGTATTTTCAGTAAAGGTTACAACAATGGCATGGTGTGGTAGTCACTGATGAGTCAAGGCTTCATCTACGTAATGCTGACAGCCGTTTGTGTTTGGCGTAGATGTGGTGAGCGTTATGCTGATGAGTGTGTGGTTCAGACAGACCTTTGGGTGGTGGGAGTGTCATGGTCTGGGGTGGAATAAATTACAATCACAGGACTGCCTTCATGTCTGTCAAGGGAGAGTTAATGCCCTTTATGACTGTGCCTGACTGACTGAGTTTAGTTTTACGCCGCTTTTAGCAATATTCCAGCAATATCACGATTGGGGACACCAGAAATGGGCTTAACACATTGTGCCCATGTGGGGAATCGAACCGGGTCTTGGCCAGATGACGAGCCAAGCGCTTTAACCACTAGGCTACCCACCGCCCCTCCTTTATGACTGTGAGCAGATTCTTCAGAATCACATCGTATCTGTCTTCAATCACCACCAAGATGTCCATACTTTTCAACAGGACAATGCACGGGCACACACAACAAGACTTTCCATGCAGTATCTGGCCCCAGCAACACATCCAGGTTATTCATTGGCCAGCACAGTCGCCAGATGTATCCCCATGGAGCACTTGTGGGGCGAAATTGGTCAAAGTCTTTGTGGCGACAACAGATCACGAAACATCCGGGAACTCTATTCAGGACGCTTATTGACTCAATGAGGAGACGTTGAACTGCATGTGTCAATGCAAATGGCGGTCACACGCGATATTGACTTTTCGATTTTGACCCCACGTGTGTTTGATCCTTTCTGACTGTGGAACATTTCAATGGATGACCGCTTTTCTGTGTTGTTGATTTTGTCAGTCATCCATCTGTTATTATCCACTCAAAAAATATCAATTCCTTACACATGCTTTTAATAATCTGAAGTGGTGCATTTTCAATGATGTTCAGTATATATAAAGTGTAACACTTAATGTTTCAAATCCACATGTAGCCAGACAGGTGTTGACAAGCCCCAATAATATCTATTCCAATACATTTATATCAAACCGCAGTGAATGTAACCCAGTTATGGGCCCTGATTGTGTTCCAGGTACATAATTATTACACTTTCTGTATCACTTTTCCAAATGTCATGCTACAATGCATTTTGGGGTGGTGGGGTAGCCTTGTGGTTAAACCGTTCGATCGTCATGACGCCAAAGACCTGGGTTCGATTCCCTACATAGGTACAATGTGTGAAGCCCATTTCTGGTGTCCCCTGCCGTGATACTGCTGGAATATTGCTAAAACCGGCGTAAAGCCATACTCACTCACTGAAAATGCATTTCTCTTACATGAGTTTGTTTTAACATTGCTGAAACAGCCTCAAAATAAAAAATGAGTGCCAAAAAATGTTGATATTATTCAAATTTAACGACAGCCACTGTACCAGGCTTGTATGGCCAGCTTGTATGGGAATCGGCATGTTGGAATTGGCGGTCATATGGCGGATCACTCGGGCTTTGAAGATGGGCATTCAAATGCACAGACATGATAAACTATGGAATGAACTATGGTAGTGTGTTTGGCATAAAGTTGTCTTTTATAAGGGACCGTTCATAATTTATGGCGAGGGGTGATGATGATTTTAAGGGGTCACCCATTTTGTTCTGGTGAGCTAGGGAGGTCATCAATTTTGTACACACAAACTATAGTCTGTTTGCAGTGAAAAGGTACCAATGAATTTCACTTTAAACAAAAAAGTAAATCAAGTTAAGTGAAATTAAGATTGCGAATCCTCATAGTTTTACCTTGCGAATGCACATTTAAATCTCAGAATTTGATTCAACTTAGGATAAAAGTTGTTTAACAAAGCGATCATAAATTAAAATCGCTATTATTGGTTTGTATTACAAGGGGTGGCGCAAATAGATGGAACAGTGAAACAAATGCATGTGCTATGCGTGATGAAAACGTAAACTTAAACCAACACTACTTGTTCTCGGTGTTTCATTTAAAGTGCATACCAATTTCAATACATCTAGTAGTTGATAAGGTATCTTTGTTGTTTAACACAGCAGTTAAGGTGAGGTGGGTGAAATGGGGTTTAAGTCGTACTTAAGAATATTTCGCTCATATGACGACGTGCATGCGTGTGTATGTGTATGTGTGGCTGCTTGTACTAGCCCAGACTTAAGCTGGTTTTATAATGCTAGCTCACTGAGATACAATGCCGCAGTCTAGCATGAATACCTCACTCAGACACATTATACTGACTCCGAGCTGACCAGTCCTTGTTTTACCCATTAATGCTGAGCGCCAGGCAGGGACCAACAAGTACTATTTTAACATCTTTTGGGGTGGATCACACAGCAGTTAATAATATTCCAGTAATTACACAGCAGTCTGTAAATAATTAAGTCTGGATCTGACAAACTAGTGACTGATATTATGAGCACAGGTTGCTAGGGACCTTTTCACCACAGAGTCAAAGGTTATAACTACATTTTACCTATATTATAGGCGTCATAGCACTCAAAAGACAAGGGTATAACTTGTGCCAAAGACAGAAAGACTTTATTTCACAACACAAAATATACAAAGTAAAAATGAAGTCAGGATTATGACACGTCTAAAACGAAACCAACATGGACAGGGCGAGATTTCATCTAGAAATCTTGCCACATCATATGATCGATATAAACAAAGAGATGTTGTTCTAACATCCCACTCTCAAGACATAATAATTCGACACTACATTCTTTTAGTGAAGATGTATATCTAACATAATCAAATATCATGATAACTGTCCTACAGAGGAATATTATAGTTTTGCAACTCAGTACAAGTGGGCTCAAGGATATCCATTGCACAGAAAAGTCTGCACCAATATCCTGATAGGACTGACATATACCTATCCTTGTTCCTTTGTTTGTGATGAGATATGCTTGTGATAAATGTGCTATGAAAGTTGAGCCGTTGATCTACAGAAGGAAGGGGAGAATGGGTTTTCTGCCTCGTGGATAGTCCTTGAAATCCTTACGGTAGTTTCGATGTTTGCCAAATGCCCACACAGTCATTTGGTAGAAGCCGGCAAGGGTGAAAAGACCCGCTGAAATTACAAAATATTCCTGTAGTATTGTACATGCTGTTGTACAGGAATATCACCTACCAGCATGGGTGTTGGTGACACTATCTTTAGTAATTATCTTTGGTAAGCTTCACTGATCACATATTTATGCTTCACATTAACTGGCAAGCTGCTTGATTGATCAGTTGTTTTTGTCATGACGAGGAACACTATGTTATGAGGAAAATGCTATGTCATGAGGAGGAACACTATGTCATGAGAAATTCTATGTCATAAGGAGAAACGCTATGTCATGAGGAGAAACCCTATGTCATGAGAAATTCTATGTCATAAGGAGAAACACTATGTCATGAGGAGAAATGCTATGGCATGAGGAGAAACACTATGTCATAAGGAGAAACACTATGTCATGAGGAGAAACTCTATGCCATAAGGAGAAACACTATGTCATGAAGGGAAATGCTATGACACGAGAAATTCTATGTCATAAGGAGAAACACTATGTCATAAGGAGAAATGCTATCTCATGAGGGGAAACGCTAACACATAAGGAGATCCACTATGACACTACGTCATAAGGAGAAACACTATGTTATGAGGAGAAATGCTATGTCATGAGGAGAAACACTATGACATGAGAAATTCTATGTCATAAGGAGAAACGCTATGTCATGAGGAGAAACGCTATGGCAGAAGGAGAAACAGTATGACACTCATGAGGAGAAAAACTATGTTATGAGGAGAAATGATATGTCATGAGGAGAACACTATGTAATGAGGAGAAACACTGTCATGAGGAAAAACGCTATGTCATGAGGAGAAATGCTATGTCATGAGGAGAAATGCTATGACACTATGTTTAAAGGAGAAACAATATGTTATGAGGAGAAATGCTATGTCATGAGGAGAAATTCTGTCATGAGGAGAAACACTATGTCATCAGGAGAAATGCTATGTCATTAGGAGAAACGCTATGACACTATGTCATGGGGAGAAGTGCTATGTCATGAGGAGAAACGCTTTGACACTAAGTCATAAGGAGAAACACTGTCATGAGGAGAAATTCTATGTCATGAGGAGAAACACTATGTCATGAGGAGAAACACTGTCATGAGGAGAAATGCTATGTCATTAGGAGAAACGCTATGACACTATGTCATGGGGAGAAGTGCTATGTCATGAGGAGAAACGCTTTGACACTAAGTCATAAGGAGAAACACTGTCATGAGGAGAAATTCTATGTCATGAGGAGAAACACTATGTCATGAGGAGAAACACTGTCATGAGGAGAAATGCTATGGCATAAGGAGAAACGCTATGTCATGAGGAGAAACACTGTCATGAGGAGAAACACTATGACACTAAGTCATAAGGAGAATGCTATGGCATAGGAGAAATGCTGACACTATGTCATGAGAGGAAAAGCTATGTCATGAGGAGAAACACTGTCATGAGGAGAAACACTGTCATGAGGAGAAACACTATGACACTAAGTCATAAGGAGAAATACTATGTCATGAGGAGAAACACTATGTCATGAGAAACACTGTCATGAGGAGAAATTCTATGTCATGAGGAGAAACACTATGTCATGAGGAGAAACACTGTCATGAGGAGAAACACTATGTCATGAGGAGAATGCTATGGCATAAGGAGAAATGCTTTGACACTATGTCATGAGAGAGAAAAGCTATGTCATGAGGAGAAAAACTGTCACAAAGAAGAGAAACACTATGTCATGAGGTGAAACGATATGGCATAAGAACAGCAACTATGACACTATGTCATGAGGAGAAACTCTATGTCATAAGTAGAAACACTATGCATGAGGAGAAATGCTATGTCATGAGGAGAAATGCTGTCATGAGGAGAACGCTATGACACTGTCATGAGGAGAAATGCTATGTCATGAGGAGAAATGCTATGACACCATATCATAAGGAGAAACACTATGTCATGAGGAGAAATGCTATGTCATGAGGAGAACGCTATGACACTATGTCATGAGGAGAAATGCTATGTCATGAGGAGAAATGCTATGGCACTATGTCATAAGGAGAAGCACTACGTCATGAGGAGAAAACTATGTCATGAGGCGAAATGCTATGTCATGAGGAGAAATGCTATGACACTATGTCATGGGGAGAAGTGCTATGTCATGAGAAATGCTATGACACCATGTCATGAGACGACATGCTATGTCATGAGGAGAAACGCTATGTCATGAGGAGAAAAGCTACATCATGAGATGAAACACATGCCATGTGACTGAGTGTATAACCTACCTGGCAGACACTGGGTCATGACAGTAAAGCCGACCCAGGCCAACGTCTCATACGTGTAATTGGGACAAGACACAACCCCAAACAACCACGTAAATGGGTTGGCTGATGGATACGGAATCTTTCTCACTTTGGACCCTGGAATAAGAATGCACAATCAAACATTTAATAGAGATCCAGAGTCCCGATCCACAAAGTGTTAACAGCTTTACGAGCTATCATAAATATATACTTCATTATAGGTTTACAAGTTTCATATTGCTATGAACATCTTGTGGCTTGGACCCCAGGAATCTGAAGAGCTATCAATTTTTTTCAGGCATTTGACTTGTGAGTTCACATTATTTTCGCAAAACATGGTAGGTCCTTAGAAGAAAACAACACGATATTTTGATTGGATACACAAATGGACACCATTTTTAACTTTCAGGACAAAATGTCTGAGCAACAGGACGTCCTTTATAGAATAATGAGTGAGTGTGTTACATTGAACAGTATTTAATTAACATCATGGCATGTTAGCTTCCTGTGAAAGGAAAGTCGATATTAATGCAGGTTGTAGATATTTAACACACACAAACACGGTAGTGATCAAACATACATGCTCCTCAACATCTGCTTAAAATCCAGTCATCTTTAGTCAAAGAGGGTCTCAAACAGATGTTGTGCAGTGTAATCAGGTTTGTATCAGTGTGAATGTGAGAGTTGAAACTTATGCTCAGCTGATCCTGGCACAGCTAAGGGAGGTAAGCTACCATGACCCAAACACTAACCTGCAGGGCGGAGGTTCCTGAGGGCCAGGTGGATTGACAGGTTGCCCAGCTCAGCAAACTGAAATATCAAACATGTCAACTGTGAACCATTCAAAACGTGCAGCTAAGGTACTACTAAATAACACCCGGAAATTGTTAGGTATCATATTTTATTGTTCAGCATAACAGAATTGACATTTTTGCCTGCTGATACATTAATTGTATTGGAGATCGGAATAATAAAAACAGTGCTTCAGCCAGGATTTAACCCACTTTTGTTCAAGGTGTACCAAAATAGACCTTAAAGTATGTGAGTTGATTAGTTTGAAGAAACAGAGCAATCAGTTTACAATGATGGCCAATAACATGAAGGCTCTAACAGATGAAGACGTGAAGAAACAATGATGAAACTGTGAATGTCACATGCAATGTTTTGAAGCCTTCTGAAGTTTGGTTGCTTGGATGTTTGTTGTTTAACTCCACACTCAGCAATACATCTGTAAATAGTGATCAACAGCATGTTTGAATGAACATCTTTTGAAGCCTGGGATTTGGTGTCAACCATTCCCGTTATGTTTGTTGCATGGGTTACTGAAGATCAATTCCAACCTGGATCCTCACGGGTATTCTGAAGTGATGTTCTAGAATCATTTAGTTAAAATGTTTAACATTATTGTTGTACAAAACATTTTTGTTTCAAATAATAGGTATCAACACTGACCGACATAAATGTATACATGGCATGTTCAGTTTGGACAAAGGGCATAGCCTCCCTACTAGTGTTGGGAATTGGTTGAAATATCACAATTGATGATTGCTTCATTACCAACAAACAATCATCGAAAAAAATTGGTTAGCGTCATTTTTCAGATTTTCCTATCCAGGTCGTTATTGCAGATATGTATAACATGATGCAACTTGCTACTTTAAAGTGATGACTAAAATATCATGAACATAAACTTCCCGGAGTCTTCAAAAAATATATTCAGTCATGGCTTTTCAGTTAGTGAAGTGAGTTTTCTAAGAATTAAACCAGTTTTCAGGCCCTGACAACTTCTACGATATGTTCCATTGTCAAGTATTTCAAAGACTAAAACAGTAGTTCCAAAATCGTTTATGTTCGATTATGAGAAAATGTGATCGATTGCTTGGTCGTTTGGTCACTGCACCAATCTTCGATTATTTCAATTAATCGGAACACCACTACTCCCTACAACCCTGAACCTGCCTCTTTTCCTCACTTTCTGCTTCAAATGATTCTAGCTAATACATGTAGTGAGTTTGGTTTTTACCTTTTTAGCAATATTCCATATATCATTGGGGAGGATATTTATATAGCCCTCTAGCACATATCCACGCACAAGTACATGCTCAAGGCACTGGTATTTTTCCCTCGATCATTGGATGTCAATCTCAACGGCACATCATTATATCAATCTCAACTCCCTGGGAGCATAATACGACTCTGGCAACCACTAGGCGCACCGAGTTATTGCAGCTTTCTCATCCTTACAAGGTACCGATTCACAGCTGGGTTGACTGGGACACATAGTCACAGTATTTTGTCCAAGTTTACTGCACGTTGCTGTACCCGCAACTAGGTGTTTGCACGTATTCATATGGCCACCATCTGGTCATATACTAACTGATTCGTGGGTTCTTTTAAGTGAACAGGGTTGTGTACTGTACACTAGGGTTGTGACAACACTGAAAGAGTCTGCAAACAAAGTTGACTACAAGGTGTTTACACCCGGTCACAGGTGGGCTTGATGCCGACACCTCAAGCTCGCTGGATCACTAGCCTGGCACCTCAGCCAGCTCGCCCACCATGCCCCATAGCTACAATATGATACATGATATCACTAAATGAGGAAACCCAATATGACACATTTAATGATGCTTATAATTCAATGTATACTAGCCCAAAGAAGTTAAAGACAACTGAGTGACTTTACAGATTAACTATAGTTATATGAACCAGAGAATCAGGGGTCCGGGTCCTTGGCGTGAACTACTCCTGTAGTATATGTTGAATTTTTACCCAAATATGTCAAACAGTATCAGTCTTATAGGAATAAATGCACAGAAGTTGAAAATAGGACATCCATAGCTTATTAAGCAGACAGTATGGTATAAAAGAGTTGGATAAAGTGGTGCACTAGAACTTGGTAGAAGTGTTTAGTCATGGATCTTTCAGTATAAAACTACTTACAACAAAAGCTGCGAGTCCACCATAGATCTGCAGGTCTCCATATGCTGAGAAATATACAGAACAGTGGTCAAAAACATACTACTCAATGAAATTAAAGAACACCCAGTTCTACATATTATATTAGTTAAGCCATGACAGATTAACTACAATGAAATGAAGGACCTGGGTTTTATTCAACTTTTTTTGACTAGTATTAATAATCTCTTATTACTGATGCATGACATATTTGAGAAGCAAGTCTCAAACACAGACTGACTGAGTTTGGTTTTACGCCGCTTTTAGCAATATTCCAGCAACATCACGGCGGTCTCAAACACTGACGAAGCTAAATCTTTTTCCTAATATTGATTTGGTGTGCACTTCTACAAGGCATACTATCCTTTTAAAAAATGTAGGGGAACCTGAACTTTCAATTTGGATAGGAAGTATAAGCCTTAACAAACTTTTCAAAGACAGACATCTTATGAACGCACCACCATTTCTCTTTATCACCACCCCTAAACACAACGCATGGGATGCACGTGCACAACGCAGTAGCCCCATACACGTGCATGGGGTGTCATTCTTGATTTTGATGGTTTTCAAGAAGTTCGATAAATCACTGTAGACCATTAATTTTGACAATCATCTTGCATCACACAGTTGTTTGTGTTTGTTTCTAGCCATTTATTGTTTGAAAATGAAAATCGTACACATGCTAATTTCATGTCACACACCAATCATCTTTCAAGAGCGATTACTATACAAACAACTACGGTCATAAGGAAGTGCAAGTGGTGATGCACTCTCAAAACATTCATTACTAGCATATCAACACTGATTGACTCTGAAATATCTCCCAGTTGTTTCAATCATAAATTAAAAATGAAGTTCCACTACATTTTTTAAGAGTATATAATGCCATCTCACAGATTGGTCCAGACGTCGGTCAAGGAAGGCATAATAGAGCAGGGCGCTTATTATAATGATTACAGCAACCATGTATTCATTGCTTCACAATAAGAAAGTTAAACATATTAATCTTTTTCGAGCATAAAATGGCAACAATGCTGATGCAAGATGTTTGACAAATTTAGTGCCTTATGGTTCAACCAGTCTCTAGTTTAATCACCCACCTGGAGGTGTGTACAGGGGATGGTTCACGAAGTAGGCAACAAACGCTGCAAAGCCCCAGTAGTACATGGAATTCTGAAAGGCATATTACAAAACTCATGAATACAAGTTCATTCAAAGAGCAAATAACTGAATTTCGAAATAATAATTTCTTGGTTTTTCGAACAACTCTTGCACATAAGCAAATTTAGCAGAATTTAGTAATAGAGTGCTATTGTTTACAACTTCCGAAAATGAAAAATAACAAAACTCTCTTACATGTTTTATTTCAAGAATCACATTATGTGATTGTGATTCCTTGATCTTTACAAGGAATCAACCTTGTGACACTCAGTCATCATAAATGAAAAACATAAACATCCAATAAATGTTTACCTTTCTGATACACAACAGTTCAGCAACTACTACCTATGTTTTGTCCATTAATGTGATAAAACATTTCAGCTTAACAAGTATGTGTGTGTCTGTCTAAAGACTGACTGACTGAGTATGGTTTTACACCCTTTTTAACCATATTCCAGCAATATCACGGCAGGGGACACCAGAAATGGGCTTCACAAATTGTACCCATGTGGGGAATCGAACCCGGGCCTTCGACGTGAGGAGTGAACGCTTTAACCACTAGGCTACCCCTCTGTCTAAAGAAGGAGAGCCAGGAACATTACACCTCTGGCCCTGTTTAGTGATCTCTGCCAAGTGGTATTTTGTGTTTGTCTGTTTGTTTGTTGTTTAAAGGCACTCAGCAATATTCCAGGTATATGGCGGCGGTCTGTAAATAATCGAGTCTCTACCAGACAATCCAGTGATCAACATCATAAGCATCGATCTACGCAATTGGAATACATGACATGTGTCAACCAAGTCACGCCTCTTACCACAAGCATGAGTTGCTGAAGACCAATTCTAACCCGGATCTTCACGGGTCTGGTATTTTGTGGTTCATTCTCGAACCTGATGCCTAAAACACTGACTTTGCTGTCAAAATTTGGGGTCCATATCTGTGAGAGCTGAAGGGATACATGACTCACCTTGATGATGTTGAAGATGGGCATGGTGGCGTGAGAGAACCTGTGTACGAAGACTGTCTCGAAGAGCCGCTTGGCATAGTGGAATGTCCAACAAGCTGCAGCTATACTGTAAAGACATCGGTTTATCTACGGTAATATACGGTAACTCATCGTGGCAGTGTCTACGGTAACAGACAAAAGTTGTCTAATCCGGACTGCTTTACAATCCGGACAAATGAGTCGGTCCCAGGCCTGTCCGTAATAGACAGATTCTACTGTAATTGTGTGCACACCGAATCTCCCAAATAACTTTACAATATCTAACTCCCTGTGAATGAGTGAGTGAGTAGGTTTTTTTAAGCCGTTTTAGAAATATCCCAGCAATATCATGGCAGAGGACAACAGAAATGGGCTTCACAAATTGTACCCATGTGGGAAAATGAACCCAGGTTTCGGGGGTGATGACGAGCGAACGCATTAACCATAAGCCTGCCTCACTGCCCCTGTGTACGAGTGAGGTAAAACGTTACTTCGTTACTTCACTTTGTCATTCTTTCAAAATCTGATTTTAGCCAAGGGCTGGAGTGCCCTTGTATCAAAAACACCACATCAAACATTCATCCTTTCTGTTCAACATATTCATGTGTTTCAGACAATACTAAGAAGCAAAATATACCACTCAAAAAATAGTTTAAAGAACATCCAAATTTAAGTTTGACTATCTCATGGCTTGTGGGCATGGCAACACACAACCCTTCGCCAATGGTGTTCTTTAACTTGTTGAGAGTATAATACATAGAACATAACATTTGTTCAGATAATGTTTCCCTAGCTACAAAACACATAATAAGCTGTTCACTGGTCCCTCAGGGGACATGGGTTGATGTACCCTCTATTTATGTTTATGTTCCCCAGGGAACCCAAGGAACATAAACAAACATAGAGGGTACAACAACCCGAGGGACCAGTGAACAACGTATTTATCTTACCGATAACCTCAATGTTAAGTTTGAACTGTTTGATGCATGTGTATCGGATCATAATAAGAAGTACCAGAGTTAGGCAATTAGCTAATACCAACAACAGCCAAAACACTACTAACACAATGAACCAAATAATTTCCCACTGTTCGGCATTCCCAGCAGGTAACATAGAAAATGTTACTCGCTCGTAAACGGGATACATTGATCAGCTCAGAAAGCGACATTTATGTGTTAGGTAAGACAAATGGTAATAACTGCTTTTTCTGTCCACAGGTAATGAGAGTGAGTATGGTTTTACACCGCTTTTAGCAATATTCCAGCAATATCACAGTTGGGGACACCAGCTTCATGCATTACACCAATTTGGGGACTCGAACTTGGGTCTTGGAGTGACGAGCAAATACTTTAACCGCCTGCCTACCCCACCACATCCTCGATAATCTCCAGGGTATACGTTATATGATCACTCTCCACTATACCCTGGATGCATCCACGGCTTGGCCTGATGATTTTATTACCTCCCTTGGCTGGCTTTTTATCTAATCAGGTGTCTACGCTGGGAAGTTGAGCAAACCAATCACAACTCACTTTTGCTTCTTTAATTATCTAACCGTTTAAACAATTGATGCAGAGGTACTCTGAAAGATGTGGAAGGAGTTCTTTTATATATTTTTGAAAGTTTCAGATCTGTCAATTTGTCCATATCATTTCTCCCAAAATCTGAGTAGTACTGCGAACAAACCTTCGCGACTGCAACAGCTATCTTTGTTGACACTGGCAAGCTCGGTTGTAACGGCGGCTTAGCTGATTGGCTACTGTGAGAATGCGGAGGCAGCAAAGGGAGGTACTATAATTATCGGGCCAAGCCGTGGATACATCCAGGGTATAGTGGAGAGTGATTGTAACACATACCCTGGAGATTATCGAGGATGACCCCACCACAGATATAAGCATAAAGCGTGCTGCTTCACAACTGCACTTACTCCACAACAAATGGCTTTGGTTGTAGCGCTGCCTCAACTCCATAGATGATGGCAGGTCGTGTGTAGAACCCGAGGTAGATAGCTAGAGGACCAGCATACTCAGTCAAAAATACCTGGATAAAATATAGACATGAGTGAATATCGATTTCAACTTCAGAGAGCAATATATCACCTGTTTAACGGCACTGTTACCCAATCAATATAAACCAGGAGTTGGCTTGAGCAATGGCAGGATCTGTCAACACAGAATCAGGAAGGTCACAAAACGTGTCAAACCGATTCTGTTCACTGTATCCTCATTGTCCAACCAAGCATTGCATGGCCACAAGAAGCAACCCCGAGACTGAAGAATTCCCATTTAAAAAAGTTCTCCCCTTAAGTGAGTGAGTTTAGTTTTACGCCACTTTAAGCAATATTCCAGCAATATTCCAGCAATATCACGGCAGGGGACACCAGAAATGGGCATCACACATTGTACCCATGTTAGGAATTGAATTCGGCGTGACGAGCTAAAGATTAAACCACAGGCTATCCAACTGTCCCTCTCACCTCAAATTTGAGGCATTAGAAACCTATTTTTCCCCAACACCTCTACACACCAAAGATCACTGAGACTATTGTTAAGTGGCTAGTCTTAAGGACTTGGATTTGAAAAAATATAATGATCTCCATTCAACAAAATGGGGTACAATGTTTTCTAGATACAAAGACCAAACAAACAAAGACATTCTGTTCACCCCTGGGTCAAAGGAACATCAATCAACAGAAAGACACCACCAGTGTCTCGAAAACAAGTTTCCTAATATCTGTGAAACTGGCAACCTCACACAATGAAATAAAATGTTTTCGTTTCCTCTAATATCTGTGAAACTGGCGACCTCACACAATGAAATAAAATGTTTTCTCATTCACTTACTGTTGTCCAGCCGACTTGAGGCCCTAAATCTTTGAAGAATAATTCTCCACCACTTCTCATGCCAAGACTCTCCAGAGTTTGGTCATCTTTTAATGATTTGCCCCCTGGAATGAAAACAGTTCCACTTAGGTTTGTTTGTTTGTTGTTTTACACCGCACTCAGCAATATTCCAGCTATATGGCGGCGGTCTGTAAATAATCGAGTGTAGACCAGACAATCCAGTGATCAACAGCTTGAGCATAGATCTACACAATTGGGATACGATGACATGTGTCAACCAAGTCAGCAAGCCTGACCACCCGATCCCGTTAGTCGCCTCTTACGACAAGCATGGATACTGAAGACCAATACTAACCTGGATCTCCACGGGTGTTACACTTATAGCCATACCATGTTTACTCACTAAAGCAAACATAATTTTCATTTTACAATAAAAATATGATAGCCATTAAAACAAGAAATGAAAGTAACATTTACATGCATTCATTTCCAACACTTTCATATCGCACAGCAATATATGCAAGACCTGTGAACAAAGATTCTACACATTCTTCAAGAGATCAAGTCTTGATTGTTTTATCAACCATGGTAACACTCTACTCACTTGGTTCAGTACGAAATGACTGCCGGTCAGGGTAATACTTTGATCCTGTTAAAGAAAAAACAGTTCTGTTGTTCTCATGATGTAATAAATACTCAAACAGGATGACATACTGCAATGCCAAAACTCAATTCCTATTATGTCTGTTGTGTACAAGTACACTTTAATTTTTGTAAATACATGTACTCAATTAATGTAATCTTACATGCCTACACACAAAAATGTCAAATTTTAGCCTGTGTACCGGTGGACAGATAAAATAACTGAGGTATACTGAGAGGTTCTATTTCAGGACATGAACTTGACAACTTGCAGTCTTTCTCATCGCATCTCATATTACAGATCAAATATAACTAACAAACACTAACATTTAAACTTTACTATATTTTTAAGATTAATGGAAAATGGTAAATACTAAAATACCCAATTGAGTTTCAGTGAGGTGAGTACAATTTATTTGGTTACTCAAAGGAAAATTAGGATACCCAGTTGAGATGAACACAAGCGAGTACATAACTCAATGACCAAAAAAGTTATCTGTAGCTCTGCTCATTTGTCCAGTTTATCATTGGTTATCAAAATCTACATTGTACATAGCTATAGTCTGTTTGGGTCAAAATGATACCGATGAATCACAATCTAACTCCAAATCGGTTCATGATCATGATGATCAAACATTCATTTCAACGCAGAATGTAATGAAAACATCAGACCAACTCTGGAAAAGGGTTTCATAATGTTTGTCTCCAAAACAAAAACTTTACTTAACAAACTATTATATTTGGTTGATTTTCTGTGTGAGGTTTTACGAGGGTAAAGAAACTACAGTTGCAGGAACAGCCTCAAGGGTGGGAAGCACGTGAAGTTTAGGATGTCAACATTTAGGGGTTGTATCAAAACTCGTCCGGTCTGGAATCTGAGGAAATTCCTGATTCACATTCACTACTCTCAGATTGTACACTTATGATGACTGGTTGAATGGTGGCATCATCGAAACCACTTTCTTCCAGTACTGATTCTCTATTTCATTTTCTACTTTCTGTACACAGTTTTGCCAGATTGCTGGTGTTATTTTACTTATGGCTTTACTATTCAGCTGTGATGTGGTAACTTTGGTCTATGATACAAAATGGAATATAATTACAGGTATTGCAGGTAAACACTATAAATCATCTGATGACCTGTACTTACTGATTCTTTCAAAGGCTCTCTTCACATCAGCAATAGTGGCAGTCGGAGACAGCTGGATAATACACATAAACAGTGTTTCATGTTCATAATTACATCGTAAAAATATAACCCAGACTAAACTCAAGTTAACTCATAATTATGATATATGCTGAGTTTCTTTCAAAAAGTAAACACATAGGTATTTAACGTTGCCTTAATCCGCATTAGGAACTTTTCGCAGCTCTGTTTTGAAACATGATCCTGTGTAACAAAGGAAACTGTAGACATGTTAGACAGATATCATATATACCCCACTTACAGTTATCATAATTACCCCACTTACAGTTATCACATATACCCACTTAGTTATCAAATATACCCCACTTACAGTTATCACATATACCCCACTTACAGTTATCATATATACCCCACTTACAGTCATATTTACCCCACACAGTTATCACATATACCCCACTTACAGTTATCATATATACCCCACTTACAGTTATCATATATACCCCACTTACAGTTATCAAATATACCCCACTTACAGTTATCACATATACCCCACTTACAGTTATCACATATACCCCACTTACAGTTATCACATATACCCCACTTACAGTTATTATATATACCCCACTTACAGTTATCACATTACAGTTATCATATATCCCCACTTACAGTTATCACTTATTATCATATTTATCCCAACTTATCATATTTACCCCACTTACAGTTATATATACCCAAATTACAGTTATCATATTTATCACATATATACCCCACTAACTTTCAGTTATCACATACACCCCACTTACAGTTATCATATATACCCCACTTAGTTATCATATCATATATACCCCACTTACAGTTATCATATATACCCTACAGTTATCATATTTATCATATTTACCCCACTCAGTTTATCACTTACAGTTATCATATAAACTCCACTTACCAGTATTTATCCCCCACTTACTTACAGTTATCATATATACCCCACTTACAGTTATCACAGTTATATACTTACCCCACTTACAGTTATCATATACCCCCACTTAGTTATCATATATACCCCACTTACAGTTATCACATATACCCCACTTACAGTTATCATATATACCCCAATTACAGTTATCACATATATCCCACTTACAGTTTAACATAAATATATCCTTATTTACAGCTTAACAAATATACCCTAGTTACATTTTAACACATATACCCTACTTATAGTTTAACATATATACCCTACTTACAAGTTACAGTTTAACACATATACCCACTTACCATGCTTGCAGTTGAACATATATACCCTACTTGCAGTTTAACATATATACCCCATTTACCATGCTTGCAGTTTAACACATAAAACCTACTTGCAGTTTAACATATATACAGGCACCCCAATCACAGTTTAACATTAATTCCTTACTCTGACACATACTAAAGACTCCAAGCCAGCCATTCCTTGTCTTATGACCCCTTATTTCCAAGCATCTGGCAGTCTAACAAGAAGTATCATTTTTTAACATTTTTGGTTATTACGTGGAAAGGGGATAGAGCCATGAATCTTCTGCTGTCTGGACAGAGCCTCTATCCACTAGACCAAAAAGGAGGTCCAGTGGTACAGGTAATTGATGCTGTAAAGAATTACCACTTAGGTGCAACCAACTAGTATGGCATAATGGTATAGTGTTGACAAACTATGGATCAAAACCTGGGAAAAGTTGGGATTTGAACCCAGCACATCCTGGCCTGGCCAACTATAACACTTCAACTTACCGTTGCAATTGTTGCTAGGACATTTGATGACCTAGCGTCGGTAACCCGGATCTGAAATAATAATTTTAAAATGAAAACCCTTGAATCTAAATCATAGCTCATGTCAGCCAAGAGTGAGTGACTTGGGTTTTACGCCGCTTATAGCAATATTCCAGCAACATCACGGTGGGGGACACCAGAAATGGTCTTCACGCATTGTACCCATGTGGGGAATCGAACCGGGTCTTCGACATGATAAGCGAATAGCTTTAACCACGAGGCTACCCCACCGCACCCGACAGCCAAGAACATATACTGGGTCCCAGTTGTACCATATCTATAGTGCTAGGAACTGGTTAAAATGTCAACATTGAACTCTGTGCTGGAAAAGCAATCAAGGATCAATTATTTAAGAAATACAGGTCACTCTACCACCATGTATAGTGTAATAAATAGAGGATACTGAACAACCTTCCATGTAATACCATTTTTATTAAACGAGTTAATGATTTGGTATAAAACGAGCAAAAGCAAGTTTGATACTAAATCTTTCACGAGTTTAATAAAAATAGTATGTCTAGGAAGCAAGTTTAGCATTCTGTTTATTACTCTCCAACATAATTGGATAGAAACTCCCGACAGTGTGACGACTCTCAGCTTTGCACGAGTCAAACAAGGTGTAATACATTGTGAAAGAGGTATCAGTATTGTTGTGTCATTGTCATCACTATAAAAAAATTATGATGCTATATTACCTAGCTATATTACAATATTGCCGTAAAAATATTACACAGCAGTATCTTGCACGGCGAGTAATAAAGCACTCTTTCGCCCTGAACTATTATTGTTAAAGCACAGGGATGCATGACATGCATTGTGGTATCGGTTACCAAGGGTATGTTCGATTACAAGGGGGCAGACTAGAATGGCGCAGTGGCGCCAATACATCGTGACGTAATGCAAAAAGTGTATATTATCATCTGATAAAGTACTCTCGGCGCCTTTGATCTTTCACCCAAGTATCTAAGAGTGATCTATAAAGAAAATGATTTTTCAATTTTTCATCCTTTCTTAGCATCCTTCATGTAAACAATGCATCTAATTATATTTTAACACTCTATTAAAAGATCATATTTTCCTGTCATACACATCAGCAAGGAAACAAGACTTGGTATTTACTTTATGCCACACTCAATGTGCTCAACCACAATCACTTTAAAATGAACTGAAACGCAAATGAGGCGCAGATTTCTGGATGGGTTGCTTGGCTAGAAACTAAAGCTGATCAATCATGGAAGAAGAAACTTAATTCAATGGAATAACTTTATTTATATGAATTGAACAAATTTGAGTGAGTGCGTGAGTTTAGTTTTGAGCTGCACTCAGCAATATTGAAGGTATATGGCGGCGGTCTGTAAATAATTGAGTCTGGACCAGACAATCCAGGGATCAACAGCATGAACATCGGTCTACACAATTGGGATACGATGACGTGTCAACCAAGTCAGCAAGCCGTTAGTCGCCTCTTACGACAAGCATGGGTTAGTGAAGATCAATTCTAACCTGGACCTTCACGGGGTCACAAATTTGATCAGAACAGATTACAAGTTTGCACTTAACACTACTCTGTTGCATCCGTCTAACATATGATCAGGAACAACATGATTGATATAGGAGTGAGTGAGTGAGTTTTCTTTCACTACCTTTTTAACAACAGTCCAGCAATATCACGGCGAGGGACACCAGAAATGGACTTCACACATTGTACCCATGTGGGGAATCGAACCCAGGTCTTCGACGTGACGAGCGAATGTTTTAACCACTAGGCTACCCCACCGCCCCTGACTGATATAGGAGGAACACTCATGTAGTCTGTCTTACAGTTCCTGAACTGCATTGTTTTCCCTTCTGCCCAGCCCTCTGCTATGCTAAAGCCCTAAATGAAGCAAGTCTTAAAATGTAATAGGAATAATTTGTTTCAATTAAAATTATGTATCTTCAGACTAGTGTCATGTACAGATGCAGGTTGGAGGCATTGATGATTCTGTGATTATGAGGAATTCACAGGCCTAGGATCAAAACGGTGATGAAAATGGTAACCACAACTCTGCACAGTGTGATATGAGTTAGCTTTCCCTTCAGTTATATCGCTCAATTCTTCCGGGGCGGTGGGGTAGCCTAGTGGTTAAAGCATTTGCTCGTCACGCCGAAGACCCGGGTTCGATTCCCCACATGGGTACAATGTATGAAGCCCATTTTCCGGTTTCCCCTGCCGTGATATTGCTGTAATATTGCTAAAAGGGGCATTAAACCAAACTCACTCACTCAATTCTTCCAAAGCTCACAGTTTGACTAGAACATTCACCTCTGCTTAGACTCAAATAACCAGATAAGTCAAGTTCATTGTTTTTCACATGCATGTTAAAGAAATCACTTTGTTTAGTTCTCACATATATATGAATGAATAGTTTAGAAGTTCCAGTAATATGCTGCTGTATTTGAGATGTCGCATTGAGGAACCAAATCCATGATTCTGGCTATATGCAATATTTTCACTATTTTGCCCTGGTAGTTTGCATCAAATGCATATAGACTCCTTGTTCTAAGTAGATGAAAGTCGCGATGTTCTAAGCTGCCATGCTGATCAGCAATGTGTTCATAACAAATATGCATATCTAGCATTATAGTAGGAAGGCTAAGGATGTTTCCTTGAGGGACCAAACCCATCATTCTGGCTGTATGCTAATGAAGGGCCTTCTCCTCTAATCATCTATCACCCAGATCCATCAGTGATACCAAAAGAGCGGTTAAAATATGGTACTTGTTGGTCCCTGCCTGGCTTCTTGCATTAATGGGTACAACAAGGACAATCCTGCCGGAAAACGAGTCAGTATAATGTGTCTGAGTTGGGGTATTCATGCTTCACTGCGATTTTGATATCTCAGTGGGCTAGCACTATAAAACCAGCTTAAAGTCTGGGCTAGTACAAGCAGCAGCAAACGTGTTTACGCGTGCACGTCGTCATATGAGCGAAATATTCTCAAGCATGACGTTATACCAAACCCATCATTCCTCACCTCACCTCACATAAACTCACTGTTCCTAGTTGCCAGGCTCATCAGCATAATAACTAAACATATCTTCTGTCATAGTATGACTTATGTATTACCAATTAAAGTAATACTAACGACAAAAACGTTTTCTGTTCAAGGATCACTCCTCAAGTAAGGGCACCCACTATCACCATTTTATGAAGTTATGGAAATATCATATATGAATATGGTCAGCGTGAGAATGAGAAAGTATAGATGGTTTTCTGTTAGACGTTGCCGTCACGTCGTTGGCAAACATCTACACTGAGCAGCGACTGAAGATTCATAGTACTACATACACTGTCAGTCGTATGAACAAAGCCATACGTATGATTGTGATACATTGTATTACTGATAATGAACTTTGCACTTTGAGTCAGTAAGCTAAAGCTCGATAAAAACTAACGATACCACATTTAATGTTCATACATCCTTTGGAATATAACATAAACCTTTCCAAAGAAGATATAACACATTGTTAGGACTAAGTTTCGTCTATCACTTGCACAAAACACATCTAAACATGCCCACCTCGTACACCATGTTGGTAGTAACAGCCCACACCGGTCGAATGATCGTGTTTTAGAGTTACCTGCCCCTGAGTACATGGCGCTTTCAGCGTTCAGCACTCACGTGTGTTAATTGTCAGTTCTATATTGATCATTTATTTATTGTGCAATTCCGATAAAGTTGCAGAAAATGAAATGTTGAACTCTTTATTACAGGACATACTTCACTTTTATGTTTATGACAGACCGGATGGTGTGCAATACATACGACCGGTTTACAATAATTATTTTCGGAACTTCTTATGATCATTGATGGAATGCAAGTTTATATAGAGGTCCCTGAACTCCTGTGGCTTCAAATTTCGAATACACGTTTATTTATTTGAACATATAAATATATGCATGGAAATATTAAAACTTCCATTTTATCTTATATAATATCATAAAAATAGCAATAAATCACAATATACAGAGAAAAGGGGGGTGCACAGTTCATTTTCACCCGTTTGAGAGTTTCAATGGTCATTTTAACTTTCAGGACAAAAAGGTGTGTGTGTGCGTGCGTGCGTGCGCACGCGCGTGTGTGTGTGGCGGTGTTTTAGCGCCTCTGGACCCGCCTATGATATATCAATAACACTATTTATGTGTTAAAGCAGACTTTGAAATTGAAGTTTTTCGATCACTTTTTACGAGGGGCGGTGGGGTAGCCTAGTGGTTGGCTCGTCACGCCGACATGCCGAAGACCCGGGTTTCTGTTGTCACCCGTCGTCATAATGCTGGTTTATTGCTCAAAAAGGCATAAAACCATACTTTCTCACTCATAGTTTACGAAAACTTAAGGTACATATCGTTTTTGAAAGTACAGTTGAACACTACTGTGTCGAACTTCCGGTTGTCACGAAGTAAAGGGTTGGTCCCTGCGTATTCCTTTCTTAGTCATTTTACGGTTATGTCGAACATCGGATAACTCGAACTATTTACTTATTGTTCTTCAGCTTCGACACGATGGTGTTATTTTGTATTATGATTTGTTTAGTATTTGAGTAGTTCGTACATATTATTAAATGCTTGAACAGTTCATGGGATTAGTGACCGTTAAAAAATCAAGGCTGGGTGCGGTGGGGTGTGTTTGGTGGTGATGATTTCAAGAAAGGGGTCACAAATTTTGTTCTGTGAAAGGGGTGGGGCATCAATTTTGAAGGGGTTGTACATGGCATCAATTTGTACACAAAATGGGGGTAGTTGATTCATTTTTGTACATGACATGCAGGGTGGGGTTCACTTACCTTTTGCATAATATTATTTTTTATTGGGGGGTTGCATTAACATTGTACATGCTTCTCCGGTAAAATCATTATCACCCCTACCATAAATTATGAACGGCCCATCAATACTAGTGGTATCCTCGAACTCGTCTCATCGTCCTGATGTCTATGTTTAATAATTGTCTACTGAAATAGGCATGTTGTCATTTTTTAATTAGCATGTTTCCAAACTGACTGAATAATCAATCGCGAGTGTGCATACGAGTAAAGAGCTATGTATAAATAGACACAATATACATATGGCAGGCTAAATTGGTTGCCTCTCGTTAAGGACATCGTCAAATGATAATGGTGCACCATTATATGTCAGAATAACCTTATTGATAGGCAAATGACAGTTTTATTAAATACTGGTGTGAATATATATTGGTTTTCTCTGGCCATAACTTCATTCTTGCATTTAGCCGTTGGCAAGGACAGTGGTTATTTGTTAGTACATCATGGTGGCGTGCGCCGTCTGCGTGTGTTGGATGGTTTCTAATTTTGAGACTTTCGAGTGCGTTCATGCGTGTGTTTAATGGTTTTGAGTTTGAATTTCTAATTTTGTTGATTTTCAATTGATTGCATTCAGCCTATATGTGAAACCTGTCGTCAAAACAGCAACATCGCGTATGTAATTTGACACAAACAGTGCATTACATTGTTAGGGAAGCGACGACAGTACTCATTGATGGAGACAAACAACATGGCTGCCTGGGGCGACAGCAACAGCACAAGTGACAACCACTCACCATGTGTAATATAGCCTGTCGGGCCACGTTCACTGCATGGGGCGACATGCAGCAACAACACTGCATGCGACGACAATATAACAAACAACAAACACGTAATGTCTTTCGGGAATTAACGAAAACGTCTGAACTAATCGCACATCTGGTGTAGTCAGTGAGTGAGTTTAGTTTGACGCCGCACTCAGCAATATTCCAGCTATATAGCGGCGTCTAGAGTAACTGAGCACATAGAGAAATGGCCTGGGATCAAAGGCATTGACAAGGTGATCTGTCGTCTGCGACATTTCCCGAAATGCTAAGGGTATGCTGGAGCTATTGCGGTAATATGTGTTATATTTTTCTAGTAAATTACCAATTCTAGTACTTTTGGGGTTGAGTCCTATCCTGGAGTCAAATTCACACCCTCGTTTTTGTTTTTTTGTTTTTTGTATCCTGCTCCACTCCATTTGATTTGATTGTAACCGCCGCAAGTTGAGCGTTTACTCGATTAGAGAGGAAGAATGAGTGAGTGAACTTAGTTTTACACCGCAATCACCAATATTCCAGCTATATGGAGGTGGTCTGTAAATAATGGAGTCTGGACCAGAAAATCCAGAGTTCAAACATCGTGACCATCGATCTACGCAATTGGGATACGATGACAACCAAAGTAAGTCAGCGAGCCTGACCACCCGATCTCTTTAGTCGCCTCTTACGACAAGCATGGGTTACTGAAGATCATTTCTAACCCGGATCTTCACGGGTCCAGATAATCCAGTGATCAACAGCATGAGTATGGATCTACGCAATTGGGATACGATGACAAGTTAGTTTGTTAGTAAGTATGGGTTGCTGAAAATCGAATCTTCACGGGTCACACTCTCGTTGTGAGACACAAAACACAAAGTCAATCTTTTGATTTATGCCTATTGATGGCTCAGTTGATCTGAGATATAGAGAAATGCAGTGAGTAATATGATTGTGTTATATATATTTTATCTAATAATGTGACGTTCTACTTGTAACAACATCGACACCAATACTGTTGGTAGGCGGGCTTACAGATTATATGTGCGCATAGTTTACTGGAAATAAACAAGACGAATCTTGTCTAATCTTGAAGCTTTCCGTGATAGTAATACATTTATAATGTACTTCTTATTATGATTTACTTATACATGTGTATAAATACACATTGTATGTATTACCACTTTACGATCTCACCGAGCACAGTCCTCTGTGAAACACTAGTCATTATCAACGAAATTGTGTCTCGAATACCCATGATGTGGATAAAGGGAGGTGACGTGTTGACGTCCTTTGGGTTATTTCGATTGTGGAATCTGCATTAGCGACATTCACAAATCGTTCCGAATGTAGAAACACTTCTATCATACGTATGTTATGATTTCCAGTGGTCGGTGACTGCAGTATGTTTAACAACGGTACCAAGTCTTGATAAGTAGATAAGAGAAACATATTTGTCGTATATGGCATTCTAAATGGCATTAATTGTGATTGCCTATTCATATTTGTCTTAGCCTGTTTTCAAGTAGTTATTAACAAACTATAGCTTTAGATTTGAAAACAAACTTTACATTCTTATTCTTTCAAAACTATTTTTAAGATAACTAATCATTAATTTCGTTCTATATCCACAACACCACGGAGGTGATCAGTTGATGTATAAATGTGACGAGTATGTGTCCGTTAGTTACCGCTGTCTCCAGGGATACGGTGCGGTGGGGTAGCCTAGTGGTTAAAGCGTTCGCGTGTCACGCCGAAGACCCGGGTTCGATTCCCAACATGGCCACAATGTGTGAAGCCCATTTCAGGTGTCCCAAGCCGTAAGGGGCGTAATATTGCGTAAAACTAAAACTCACGCACTCACTCACCCTCTCAGGGATAAGAATATAGGTATTGCGCCCATACACCGAAAACGTGTCCAGTAACGAGCCGGATGTCCAACGGCAATATTGCAGGTGTGTTGACCGAAATGTATATCATGTGCATAAAGAAATAACATAAATTCTGCAAAAGGATAACGTATTTAGTAAACAACAGATACATTATGTGTAACAGAAGGAATAAAATATTTAGGCATATGAATTATATAAAATGTTGTTTTTAAAATAGGTGCCTACTAACAAAACAAGCGTATGTTCAAATGAATGAAACATGAGTTTTAATTAAACAAAATGTTTAAATATTTTTTGTAAGACGCTATGTTCAAATACAACAAATATATATTATCAAAGTGTATAAAAATGAAATTAAAACAAAATGGCAAATTAAATGCCAACTTTGGCTTTCAAATAATACATACTATACCAACTTGGTGGTACTAACATATCATGGTTTAACGTTATTCTACGATTACAACCTACCACTAGAAATCAACACATCACTACGATGGGACTAACATAGACGTAGATGACGTGTACATGTACAGAGACAATTAATATGGCTGTAATAACATCACAGTTCAGGTGCAAATGAACTGCTAATGGTAACAACACGCTAGGCTAAAGTAGCACCAAATGCATATAATTACATAGATTCTCCGACATTGTTCTAGATACGTGAGTATGAAATATGGATAATAACATTTTACATATATCAATGGACAATAACAGCATGATTCTAGAAGATACGCATAGACTTCCAACGTTTATAACCATAATTGTTATATGCTACTGTAGATATCCATTGGAGATAGGAGGCTAAGGATGATGGTTAGAGAGATGCATGGTGTTGGTGAAATTAATGACAATAAGTTCCCAAGATACCGATGGCAGTACATGGCAAAGAAACATCTAGCTATAAATCGTAGTTGCCAAGGAGTCCTAGGTTCAGGAACGATTATCTCTGAAAATATATAATTTTGGGAGAAACAAATTTCTGCATTTGAACTGAAAAGGATACCCAATGAGGAGGCATATGTAGAGGCGAGGAATACTTTATTTGGAAGGGATAATAATATGGTTCAGATGTGACAGACTAGGTCCTCAGACGCTACCACGGGATCCTTACATTTGATGGCAGACGTTATCCAGACGTCTTGGATCTGATAGGGGACACTACCAAGGGGTCCTCAAAACTTATAGCAGACACTACACAAGATACTTTGGGTCTGATGGGGACACTACCTACGGGTCCTTGCATCTGATGACAAGGAGCCTCTGGGCAGCCTAGTTCCATGGGTCTGTTGCGCCTGCGCTAAACTTCCGTCAGTCTGAGCGTTAGCGCAGGCGCAACAGACCCAGGGAACCAGGCTGGCCTTTGGGCTGATGAAGAATGATGTTGCCAGTGTAGCCTCTCGGACTAGAGCACGTTTGACTAGCATCAGGGAGACTGCGGTTGAGACTTGCGTCCATGATTGCAGACCGGACGCCGGGAACAGCAGGTTACTTCCTGCTTATGGCGTGTCCCTGGTCTTGACTTTGGCGCCCACCAACCCATACAGGCTGACGTCTCTGGCTTGGCCTGAAACGTGCTTTGCTACATCAATTAGGCTGGTGAATCTCAGCAAGCTGGCCTCACCCTCACCATCGATCATCCCCATGACATTCCGTCCATGGCTGTCAAAGACTGAATATGTTTCGTCCTTGTTCTGCAACACAGCTGATGTCATGCCATCAAAGGTCATCAGGCAGCCCTTGCATCCTTCACTGAAGACTTCCTTTAAATGTCTTTCAATTTCAGAATTGTGGTCTCCATTTGCCGATATGACACCCTGGTGCTCCGGTCCAAACGTGCACTTGACTGGCCATCTGAAAGTGCCGATTCTGGGTTTGTGAGGCAGTTCGTCGAAAGCCAGAAACCTGTTTTGTGGAGCGTTGTTTCCCATGTCTGTGAGAATCTGTTCATGGAGTTGATCCCCGAGCTGAAGGATGTTATTTAGTGTATTGCTGGACCACATTCCCACCGGGATGAAGGCACTGACCACTACAGCCGTATATGCCATGCTGGTGCACTGTGTGCCTGCATTCTCAGCCCTGGAAAAGACAGTACTATATTAAGTCACTTGCTGCTTACCTCCTTTACTCACGGCTACACACGTCTATCTCTGGACGATTAAGATTATTAGTGTCCCACTACACGAATAACATCCACAACGTAGGTTTGTGGAAGTAAGTCCTTATCCATAAGAGTAAATTCCCAAAGAGATTTGATCCGGGATGGACCACCAATGTCCTAGAAATAATGCAAGCACAATAAAAGTGTCCAGATAAATAATTATACAGCTTTTCTCGAGGTAAATCCTAGACTATCAACTACTAAATAGTCTCTGAAATGAACACATTTTACAGAAAAAAACGCTCATAGTAAAAAAAAATATAATGAAAAGGAGACCTAAGACTTCCTGTGGAAATCTAGACTTGCGTGGGCTTTCTTGGATATATTTGCTTCAGGGTCTGTATGACAGACTAGGTAAATCCCAACATATTCCATAATACAACTATTATTCACGTGACACTTACGGTCCAGCGATCCCTGCAATTGTTCCCTGGTTGAAATTACCCATGACGGAATAGCGGCAGTCGGGCAAGCCTCCAGAGGTCACGGCGTCCTTGACCTGTGTTGTGGCGGACTTGGAACGGGTCGGCATGGTATCCCTATGATCCTGAATCAAGAGGTCTGAACAGGAAGTGATAACTGGGTGGTACCCAATGCCCCCACACCCACACGGCCCACTGTTTCCCGACCAGGTGTAGTCGTTCGGCTGGGGTGAAACACACCCTTCAGGTTTAAGTAGTGGGTTTTGACATGATGAGTTGGAATGGGGGCTACCTCCTCTTGCACTGGTGGTAGTTTTGGAGATCTGTGAAGTAGAGAGGGCATTGCTGTCTCAAGTTTTCAGTTGGCAACACCTCTTGGTATGTATACACAATTATACTAAACTGGATGATAAATATTTGGTTTTCAAAACTAATGCACGGAATGTTTATTCTGTTATCAGGTAGCGGGTTGGACAAGATCGTTTCTTTCCCAGCTGATAAACGAGACTGAATGATGAAATTCCAAATCCTAGAATGGACATGGACATGTAATTACATATATATATTTAACAAAATTAGTATGGTATTGCATTCAACTCACGTCGTGTCGTCTTCAGATTTCTCCTTATAGTAGGCCCCATCGCCCTCCTAAAACAATATAGAAATATACAAATAAACGTACTTACATTTAAACTAAATGCTTATGAATTTGCAAAAATATCAAATGACTGAATTCGCGTAAAACATGAGAAAAGTCGGCGACAATATACTGATACATTTTTCTTTTTCAAAGTGAAAACACTCAGGGCTTTTATATTTCATTTGCGTGAATAATATGTTTTCGAAGTCTGGAATACTTTCTGGTGAATCAGGGAATTTAAAGGAAATCCACCTTTGTATTATACAATCTTCGTGGAATCTCTGACTGATTTACATAAATGAATGTTGTTAAACCTCGGCAACTCTAACGCATCGGGATATGTTCCGTTAACTGAGGTCGATTTATCTCAGTTTTATGGTACAGAGAAACACGAATTAGTGCTGACACACACACACACATATGACGCAGTTTGAGGTGAAAAGAAAAAAACTAGATTTCTTGTTTTTCTGAATTGCTTTCTCACAAGGAATTAAAACAATATATATAGTGTCCTCCAGGCAAAGCATATGCCATTATGGTCGTTAAATTTAGTACCATTCTGAAAAACATAAGTTATACCCTATAGGTAACAGTGAACACTGCATTGTGATCTTCGTCCCTCCTTTGTCAAAATATAAAATAGAAACCAATGTACAATTTAAACGACACAAACTTATAGGTTCAATGTTATGTTTTATCGAACTGAATACGACTGTCTCATTGTGTTGGCAAAATTAGTTAATATAAGGAGGAATGCATACATGGACATCATCCGGGCATACAAGTGTTTCCTGTATATTTGAGTAAACCTACCTCAATATTCCGCAAACATGGGAAGCAGCGGTTCAGAAAACTGCGAGCAACATTTGAAGCCCACTGCCTTGCACGCTCTCGGATGCTTCGTCTAGCCTCACGGTTCCGTGCTTTCTTCCCCATTATCTTATGATGATAATATCACTTACGCGATTCAGTAAAAGTGACTAGGAATAGAACAGCACGTTTCGCATAGCGCGCTGACGAAACTTCTGTAACAATGACGTGACGTCACAATACCGAATAGTGAAAATTTGAAGTCTAGTTAACACGGAAGCGGATTCCAGTTATTACCTTCACTTATGCACGAATCTATTTCTGTCATTGTGTGACTCAAGTAAGGTCAAACCAGTGTTTTTGTTTCTGTTGAGGTCGTTATTTCTCTCGACCGGGTTTGGTATATTATACTATATCACCGTTATGTGACTTCATAGCAGTATACTAGTATTTAATAGGTTCGCTCAAAAAGTTTACTTTCAGATTATACGGTTTTAAACTTTTCGGAACTTTTCATTGACGTGTGTTGATATATTGTGATATCAAGAGACAATCAAAACCATTCCACCAACGTCTCAGTCTGTAAACCGAAATTCCCAGTGTGCTTAGTGTAAAATGCTTAGCTAACCGGCTTCAGAAACAGAGAAGAGGGATGTCATTTGATTGTGACGTCATGGTAACAATGACGTAACAATAATCTGCACGTACTATCTAAGTGATCAAATTCGTTTCATCGCCACTCACTGAATACTCCCGGTTATGCTTGGCCTAGTGATAAATATTGAAACTGAAGAAAAACATTTTACAACCGTTCTGTCCATTGATAATCAAAATGACACATTTAATAAGCATCGCATTATCGATGAGTGAATGGAATAATCCTTTTTATCCATTTTATGTTCTTCCTCTATAAACGATTAAACGCTCAGCTTGCGGCGGTTACAGTCAAATCATTTTCCCAATGGAACCACCAACGGCGATACATGAGCATACAACCATACAATCTAAATAATTAATCAAGATGACAGTGACATAAATGTGGTAAATTGTTTACATTGTTTCATGAAGTAGTCTTTAGTGAAAGAGTTTAGTTTACGCCCCACTCAGCAATATTCCAGCTATATGGTGGCGGTCTGTATAATCGAGTCTGGACCAGAACATCCAGCTGCAGTGATCAACAACATGAGCATCGATCTACGCAAGTGGTAAACGATGACATGTGTTAACCAAGTTAGTGACCCTGACCACCCGATCCCGTTAGTCACCTCTTACGACAAGCATGGGTTACTGAAGATAAATTCTAACCCGGATCTTCTCATGATGTGGTCTTTATAATGTTAACAGTACAATAAAGCGTCGCTTGTACTTTTAAAGTCACACAGCAATTAACTCTAATTCAGCTGCAATACCAACAGTGTGTATAAACTTCCCTTAGTACATTATACCAACGACAGGTTTCTGTAAGGAGATGAGGGTTCGATGTTGAGAATTGACAAATGAATATATTTTTAAGATAAAGAATTTGAATTACTTTTAAAATATATATTTATAATGTAATCCTTTCGGACTTCTTAGTACGAAAAGTAGAATCTGAACCTATAGATATAACCACACTGATAAAGAATTACAAGTAGGTAACCTATCTTTACAGGTATGCAAAATTAAACTTCTTATTGATAGCAAATATATTTAGTGAGTGAGTGAGTGAGTGAGTCTAGTTTTAACCACTACGTTACCCTACCCTAAAGATATTGAGTGAAGCTACATTGGTTCTGATTTTAAAAACACACCCGACAATACTCTTAATGTCAAGTGTGGTTGTCAAATTGTTTATTTTTGGCAGCCCCAGCCATATTTAGAAGAACGAGGTATCTTTAAAGCTCGTATTGGCTTGAAAACCTATGTTTTATTAGGACTGCATATCTGTTAAAATCATATTTCTTAATACAAACCATGAGCATGGCATTTTTCCAAAACCATGTGCAACACTGTATTTTTCTATCAGACAAAATATTATCAGTCAGAACATTATTGTTCTTTGATATTTTAAGACTTTCTTAAAATGTTGTGATTATGTATATTTTGTTTATATATCATTGTCATATCTGAACTGTGCTTGTATTATTAGCTGGGTCGTACGGAATTTGTTGTTGTTGTTGTTGTTGTTGCAACGACGGTTTAGCGCCTTGGAGATGGCGAGAATCGGTTATATCAAACATAACAATGCAATGGTAACCTTTGCCTAATGCAAATATAAAACGCTCCATGTTTTTTTTTAGCCTTCCATCAAATGAATATGTTATCAAGCAAGGTGTTGGGCAAGGTAGAGTCTTGTCTTCCTGGTTTTTCCTTGTTTTTATTAATGATTTCATATGTGAACTTAGAGATTTGAACAATGGCATTTGTGTAAGTGGCATTAATATCCCATGTATTCTATTGGCTGACGACACAACACTTGCTTCCACCTCTCCAAAAGGTGTTCAATCATCACTTGATACTATTTATAGCTATGCTTGTAAGTGGCGTCTAACGTATAACGGTTCTAAAAGCACTTGTGTCATTTTCTGCAAATATAAGAAACGTCTTGGTAATTATTCTTTCAAATTTGGTGATTCAGAAATACCAATAAGTGATTGTGTTAAGTCTGGAGGCATTTTACTTTCGTCTGATCTATCCCCAAAATCTAGAGTATATTCATACTGCCAGAAAGCACGACAATCTGTAAATTCTCTAAAAAGTCTTGGTTTAAATTGTAAAGATCTCCACCCTACTTCTTCTGTTAAAATATGGAAAAGAATGATACTTCCAACGAGCTTTTACGGTTGTGAACTTTTACCCATTCTTCGAGGTAAAGATTATGACCTGGTAGAAAGTACACAGAGATATTTTGCCAGATGCATTCAGGGTTTCGGTAAGCGCTTTGCCTCTGCTTCAGTGCTAGGTAACCTTGGATTGTGGAGCATGGATGGTTATATAGATAAATGTAGTCTTTCAGTGGCATTTAGAAGTTGTACATAAATGTAGACTATTATTTCTCGGCAAGCTGTGCAACAGCAAGTGTAACTCTTCATTTAAGGATATTTTCTGTGTACATTTAGCCACCTTTCAAAACAGAACAGCTGTCTTACACAGTATATGTGACACACTTATTCAAACCAGTTTAAAATACAATCTCTTCAATTATCTTAGTGACTATCTCGATTTTTGAAGGTTTCCATGTAAATCGTCATGGCGAAGAATAACTATTAATTGCATAAATAAATCTGAAACTGAACGATGGATTTCTCACGTGTGTGTAAGGCACGATATGAATAGATATCGCTTTGACCCACAATTTCTTTGGTGTACATAGATTGTATTGTTTGATGTATTTTTACCCACAGTTTAAAGATATATTAAAGTTTTGTGTACAAATCAGCTCAAGGGAAAATTCTCAAAACATTGTGAACTCTGCAAAAAGATATTGTAATGATTATGACTGCCATATAATTTTACACTGTGAACACTATATGTACAACAGAAATAATTTCTTTTCAAAACTTATAGATCTCTTTAATGTGGATGTTTATGTACAAATACAATTATTATCTGAAGGTGAAATGTTGTCACTATTTTCTGGGGGTGAACTACTAGTTACTAACGATATTGATGAAATGTCATGGAGATGTATGATTGTCCTCTTCTGTAAATACCTATATTCCTTGCTTCCCTCACTTAACTGTGCATTCTAGACCTTTCATCTTTTCTTTGTACATATATATGACGATATGAATGTGTTGTGAATATATTGCTGTGATTATGTTGCTGTAAATATTTCATGTACATGTTTATAATGATCTTCGGAAAATAATCTGGAGGAAATAAAGAGATTCATTCATTCATTCATTCAATCATTATTGAGTGAAGCTACATTGGTTCTGATTTAAAAAACACACCCGACAATACTCTTAATGTCAAGTGTGGTTGGCAAATTGTTTATTTTTTGATATTTAGAAGAACGAGGCTTATCTTTAAAGCTCGTATTGGCTTGAAAACCTATGTTTTATTAGGACTGCATATCTGTTAAAGTCATATTTCTTAATACAAACCATGAGCATGGCATTTTTCCAAAACATCGTGCAACACTGTATTTTTCTGTCAGACAAAATATTATCAGTCAGAAACATTATTGTTCTTTTATACTTTAAGACTTTCTTAAAATGTTGTGATTATGTATATTTTGTTTATATATCATTATCATATCTGAACTGTGCTTGTATTATTAGCTGGTTCGTACGGCATTTGTTGTTGTTGTTGTTGTTGTTGTTGTTGTTGTTGTTGTTGCAACGACGGTTTAGCGCCTTGGAGATGGCGAGAATCGGTTATATCAAACCTAACAATGCAATGAAACCTTTGCCTAATGCAAATTTAAAAGGCTCCCTGGTTTTTTAGGCCTTTCTTTCAGTGAAATAGCAACTCGGGTTCTCACACACATATATATGCACTATCAAGCTGTCTTTGATTCCATCGCTCGGTATAATTATACCCAATATATCCGTGACACAGGAACACATCTAGAGTACCCCCGGGCCAAATATCAGTCACCTCACAATACTGGCACCTCAGTGTCAGCTCCGACAGTGTAGTGACTGATGACACTTTAAAATGGCCTGCCTTACAAGTTACAGTCAACAGACACACAGACAGGTCAAACGGTCGTCACTCAGAAATGAATTAACTCCTTTCAGACTTGTGTTTCTCCGTGAGTTATTGGTATCCTTGGTGTCGGTGTGTATTCACAGTTAACAAGCCTGGCAGCTACTACAGTAAACTGGGGTCGGGCTATTGTGATCTATGCATGCTCACACTATACCGGGATTAACCCAGTGCAACTGTTGCCCCGTCAGCTTTCAATGTTGTTTTCTCTACAGTGTTATACTGGGACGATGTGGTGGATATATAATATATACTACGTAGATAGTGCAAATTTCCATAACTACTTGAACACATGATATATAAATTTTATCCTAATTTGATATACTGAAACACTTGAGTGGGTGAGTTTTAGAAATATATCAGCAATATCATGGCGGGATACACCTGAAATTGGCTTCACGCATTGAACCCGTGTGAGGAATCCTACCCCACCCGCCAACGAGTGAGTGAGTTTAGTTTTACGCCGCTGTAATGACAAATTTCTCGTCTCGCGAATTGTCTTGCTCAAACGCTCATTTTCTGAAAAAGTAACATGCACGTGCTTCACAAAATGAACGCATATAAAAACCGTATAAAAGCAGCTCATGACACAAGGCATTGTCACCGAATAAAAAAGCACACAAGAAAAATGCCACGCCTGACCGCAGTACACACAGAGAGAGAGCCGTAGGAATGACCCAACAAGGAGGGTCACATGCCTTCATCGCGAGAACCTTGGCTGCACCCGGGTATGCATCACCAGGTTGTTTCAGCGTCTCCGCCAGACAGGGCAGACAGTAGACAGGCCGAGAAGTGGGAGACCGCAGGTGACCACGCCCCAGGAGGACCGCTACATCTGGGTAATCCACCTCAGGAACCGCTTCATCCAGGCAACAGCAACGGCAACAACGGCATTTGCATCGTATCAGTCGACAGACAGTATCACGACGACTGCGTGAACATGGTATTCGAGCACGACGTCCATGCCATTGGCTGGTACTGACACAACAACATCGGCGTAACAGGCTCCAGTGGGCAAGGCAACTTCGACGTTGGCAAGTCCGAGACTGGTCACGTGTCCTCTTTTCGGATGAGAGCAGGTTCTGCGTATTCACAACTGATGGCTCATGTGTTTGTTTCCTTTTCATTTCTTTATCATTGTTATTTCTGACTTGTGTTTATGTTTAAATAATGCAGGAATGAATACTCTAATGAAATATAATATATTTTGTTGAAATCTTTTTTGTTGTCTTTTAATTGGCTTTCGAAACTAGTGGTATACGTTCTTTTGGACGGTAGTTAAGTACGTTACTCTGTCTGTACGTTACTGAGAAAGTGTAATCCCAAATATAGCATAAGTTTTATGTTACATTTGACTACTTTCTGAAAGGAATTGTGTTTTCAAGTTTTCTATATTTCTTTTGATAAAAATCTCAGAGGAACATGAAAGTGGCAATTTCACATATGGATGAAAACATATTTTGATTTTACGTTTTAAGGAAATCATTAACGGAAATAACTATTAATGTTCTCTCGCAGTTGAAATTTCGGTACTTTTGTATGAATATGTTTTAGAATTAAATATAAATTTCGTTATATTTGGAATAGATTAACCGCGAAAACAAGATTGTGGTTTAAATCATTTTCATAACAATAAAACACTAACTAACTAACATATGGCACACATAAATGTCATTAATCTGTATGTGCTATACCACGGCAATACATTAAACTCAAGCCGTTTCTACGGATATGAAAAGCATACATTATTCATTGGATTTCGCTATAAGAGAATACAAGCGGTTTTTATGCACCAAATAGCCTTCTGCAAGATGAAGCTTGACTTTAGATCTCGTTCAAGGTTTTCGGAAATCCTATTTTCAAAAAAAAGTAAGTACTTATACAAATACATACATGATCGATTTCTCTGTAGATTCATAATCGCTTTGTATTATTATATTGGCTGCAAGAATAGGTCTACAAAATGAATTCGACATATGAATACTTTCGAGATATCCCAGGTACAACTATTGCAGTAAACAACTCCGCAGTATCACAGAGTTAAGAGAAAGACGTAATAAAACGTGGATAAATGTTTATTCAAAGGTAGTAATCAAGCCCTTTGTACAATGTATGTATGTAGAATCGATTCCACGAGAGACAACATTGTTGTATATACAATAGACACACCACACAATAGCACTGGACAAAACAAGCAACGTTACTCACATGTATATCACAGAAAAAGCAATTATCACAGCTTTGTTTACACCCAAAACAGACTAAGTTAATCACATAGTATTGACTTGGAAATCTAGTAACTGATGATTTTAAACTTAAAGGGGGACATGATAGGCTGTTGACAGCCTAGCATGTTTAGTCAAGCAATTCAAACGTCATGTGTTTTGATTGGTAACTATGTCGACACAAATTAATTGCGCACGGATGAACATAGCAAATAAACATTTCCATCATGAAAAAGAGGGATATTTCTCGGTTTCACACTTGTCCCGACAGGCAGCGTCTAAGGCCATTACTGAAATTGGCAAAATATTGTGGAGCGTGGTCCCCCTTTAACGCATGTTTGACTATACACTGTGGGTTGTTTATGTTTATGATTATGAAAACGCGCGGTAAGAACAAACATACAAGGGATATAGAGCACTCGATAATACAGTTCATATTAATGGGAAAATACGCCAGCAAATATATCGCCACATCTACTTAACTTAATAACCCATGGCGCTATAAAAGAGAAATCTACGATAATGGGAGAGGGAGATGGGTTGTTATTTCTCATTTACATTGTGGGAAACGATTGATGGTTAAGATGGGATGGGGTTGAATAACGTAGACATTACATAACATTAACATAACAGTAGACTATCTTTTGTCGCATTAAGTAAATGAGAGTGAGATATAAGTCGGTTTTGCACTATTCCAGTAGCCTTGCTTCAAGGCTGTACTGAATGCTGAGCCAATGGATGTACAGTAATTCTATCCTTTGATTTTTTTAGATAGGCGGACAGTAAAGACCACAGTCTGTTATTTATTATTTTTTAGAAATTATCATTTAAACTATCAATTTTTATCTTAGAGACTTGTGCAAGTCTGCTATTCCAGCAATATCATGGCTGGGAAAACAAAAAATGGGATTCCAACATTCCATCGATGTGGAAAGTCGAACGAGCTTTCGACGCAATGTGAGAAGCTTTAAAGGCAACTACATCACCCTTAGTTGGGTATAACAATTACTTTAGATGTAAAACGTTGTTTTATTTCTCCCAGGAATGTCCCTTCAGTGATACCTACGTAGTACTGAGTGAGTGAGTTTAGTTTTACGCCGCTTTTTAGCAATATTCCAACAATATCACGGCGGGGGACACCAGATATGGGCTTCACACATTGTACCCATGTGTGAAATCGAACCCGGGAATTGGGCGTGACGAGCGAACGCTTTAACCACTAGATTGCCCCACCGCCCCTAGCTACGTAGATAATAGGTTTTAAAGGTAGCCATTGCGAGTTCATTTCAAGCACTGCTAAATCTCCAAACATACACTGACGGTGGTGTCCAGAAAGGGAATGGGACGGCGCGACGTCGTTAGATCACGTGCATCGTAAGGACTTCCAGTCTTTGGGTACCAATCGATGACACCCTTTAAAATGGTTACAAGTTCACGTACACGGTTGTGGAGTTTTATCAGAAACAGTAATTAAGTCAAGGAATACCAGGCGCGTGGGACACGAGTACTCGGGAAGCGCGTTGGTGTTAGTGTGGTACCGCCCCTACCCTTCTTTATTCTATGGAACACTGCACGATAAAGTATAATTATCTATATTCAAGGAGATTCGTGCCCTACTGATGCCGGTTCACATGTCAGATTTGGGGTAAATCTAAACCACTACATCAAATTAAAGGAAACATGGAGAAAAAATGGCACTGAAGGTTTCTGTAAACATCGAGTTTAATATTTTTTTTCATTTATTATCGTCTTATGCAAATAATAGTTGCTGCGTGTCATTCTTAAGCACATGCACTGTGAAATAGCGAGATATAATTCACCACGTACTCCAAACACTGCGGCGTTTAATAAGGGTATATTATTTCATCTGTACTCCACACACTGTTAAAGCAAGGGCAATAAACCCTTCCATTATGCACTGAATACTCACGACCAATGTTAAAGGGATAAGATTTAATTTGATTTTAGGTATAAATCTAGGTGTCAAATTAAAAGCTATTAAAGTTGAAGCTGCCTCACAACGGCACAGAACGTGACGGTTTGAAGACTACAAATTCATTTACAGTGAAACAGGTGGAGCTGACAGACGATCCAAAACGATCTTCATACTGATCCTTAGTATACACAACCTCCCCTCCCCAAAAATAAAATAAAAAAATAAAATAAAATAAAAACCAAAAAAACACCTAAATAAATAAATTAAAAAATTAATTAAATAAATAAAGAGAGAACGAAATTTAAAAAATAATAAATACATATGTAAAATGATAATACATAATTAATAAATGAATTAAAAGAAAATACATTCTATTACAAAAATAGAATTATATGAAATACAGACAGTTAACAGAAGAAAATGCCTTGGATTGGAACCAAAACTATACTAATAGAATTAGATTTGACCATAACATTACAAACGTTATCTAACCATTACAAAGAAGACGTCACAGCAAACTTAAAATCCTAAAATGCAAAACATAACTACATTACCCGCATTAAACACATAATAATCGGATAACCATTGCTCAGATCAAGTTGTTTGGTTACTGACAATCCCAGTCCGGTATCTATCGAAGTTTAAAGTCAAAACAATCGTGGGCGACTACTCAGAATGACGGAACTAACACGAGACGACTGTTGAACAGAGTAGCTCACTGTACAGCAAAATGTCATACTGATTTGTATAAAGAACAGGTTAATATTTCCCTTCGCCTCCCTTACATCCAGAGTCTTGAAACACGGAACAGGAAACAAACGAAGCGTGACATCATTTGCCTGTCTTCTTTTCAGTCCTCTCCAATATCCTTTTTCAAAACCTGGATCCGTCACACACACAACAGCTTGGGTTGTTGTCTTCATACATATCTGCTATACAGAAGTATCCAGACACTTTATGAATATGGTTGTATTAAAAGCACGGGATGTGTGATGTTATACAATGCATCTCAACACTTTCTATTCCAGATGAGTGATGCACTTTCTTCACTGTCCTTCCCGTATCATAAAAAAGTATATGTTTTACCAAAACACAACAGAAAAGAAATGTCAATGTTTCTCTCGAACATTATACGAAATAGACGAAAGTGGACACTGTTTCATTAAAAGTTCAACTCAATGATATGAATTGTCCATTTTTACGATGCATACAGATCAATGTCAGAAATACATACGAACAAGAACGACCACGTCACTCGCTGTACACACCAAAAACCGTCGCCGTGGAGAATATGAAGTTGTTCTGAAAGGTGTAGGTGGCGTAGTTATCGAGGTTGTCGTCCCAGACGCACCTGCTACAGGTGACAATGCTCTGGTCTTTCTTTTCGCCAATATGCACCTGGCAGATAATCCTATAACGGTCATACCCCAACAGTTTCACTTTGTCCTTTATCTCATCCGATAAAACCTTGCTAATATTGGCACAGAACTTGGGATTATACTTGAAACGCCCAAGCTTCTCGTTCAAAACCTCTTCGATAACACCGTGTACCTTTTCTGGTGAAAATTTCTTATGTGGTTCCATTCGATAACTCGGTTCCTTCGGAACTTGCATCTGGGTTTGCGAAGAGAGTCGCGAACCATATTTCCCTCTCTTGTCAAAGAACCTTGAGGTCAGTCTCTTGGCCAGGCGTTTAGAAGCCAAGAGACCAACCAAAGAAGGTCCGCTGCTTACACTCTGTTTTGGGGCATTGCTAGCCCTTCTCAAAGCTTCGTTGGAACCACCAAATCCTTTCGCCATCGACATCCTCCTGTTTTCGGATGGGGCTCCGAGAGAGGCGACGCTTGAACCTTTCCGATTCATGATTACAAGTTTCGGGGAAAATGTCCTCTACGTTATTTCATATGCTTGGAGCTAAACAGTCTGTGAAACTGTCCCTCTCGCTTGGCGACCGGAGAAACAACTGTCGTCTGCTCCCCAAAGGCCGAGATCACATGACTCACATTGTTGTTTGATCAATACGATGGCTTTTACATGTAATACAATAATAGAAAGCCAGTATCTACGAGCAATGTGCTTTCTTATAACTGACTGGCTCACTGAATAGCGCCAATGAAGTGCGACTGAAAGCGCCATATATTCATAGACACGTGTGTCGAGGAATAATTCGACTGCATTGAAAATCTGGTGACACTTGCCATTGGGCGGAACACATGCGTGGTACTTCAATATTGCACTTATACGACAAGCCAACTTTCTGTCTTATAAACTATGAGATACGACATCCGTTGTGAATATGATGTATACAAATCAATATATCTATAGCATTTATAACGTTCTCAAAACAAAGTCTCCTGGGAGTAACTCAGCGTTAAAACGGGGATATGACGGTTGACCAGGGTTGCGTATAGCAATAAATTTGGCAGCGGAAATTGACAGGGAAAGGTCAAGACCTCATTTTATTTGTTAAAGTTGCACCCGCGTTGGGTATTAAGAACATAGGATGAAAAGAATCGCACTTGATAGACTCCTGAAGTGTATGCTGCAATTACCTTGGTTTTATTTTATCTTTGAGTAAAGGCTTGTTATTGAGTTGAAGCGGTCTTTAAGTCGACACATGCCCTTCCCAAATAACGCCCCCTTTCCCCTCATGAAGTAACCCCCTCTGACATATATGAGAGGTATTATATGTTTTTAGAAAACAGAGTATGGTATATACATTGTTAATTTGTACGATACAGAGTCTAGGCATTTTAATCAAATAGGAGGTAGATTGATTCCGCTTCCTGTTTTCTATTTCTAAGTATAAAAGATCCATCCCGAGTTGATAAGAACAATAACCTTGTTAAAAATACTTCTTGAAGTATAATTATGCCCGGGAAACGTAATAAAACAGCAAAGACTCCTCCAGTGAAGTAATACCTGTTTATGTCAATGTTCGAATATCGCCGTATTATAACAGCGGGGCTTAATACAATGTTATCACAGTTGAGTGAGTGAGTGAGTTTTACGCCTCCTTAGCAATATCACGGTAGGGGACACAAGAAATGGGCTTCACACATTGTAACCATGTGAGCAATCAAACCCAGGTGTTCGGCGTGACGAGCGAACGCTTTAACCACTAGACTACCCCTCCGCCCAGAACCTTAGTAGACAAACTTGTGTGACGAAACACCATAAGTCAGGTAGCATTATTTCTATTGATTTACATATCTGTTCTAAACACTAAAAAATATCAATTACGCTTACTACAACTGCGTTTTGGGGTCATGCATTCATTGCACAAGACCATTTAAAGTAACTCAGGATATGACGAGCATTCGAGGATTACCTGATCAAATTGTTATCTGTCCGTTACTGAATGTATACTACCATTTATTACAACTATAGGGGAATTGTCAATTGTTCCTAGCTTCAAACTGTAGGTTGGTGGCGCATCTGGATTCGAGGATGTACGGAATAGCGAGGTCCCATTGCATATGGTGACGAAAAAACACCTTCCTCTAAATACACATGAGGTAAATTACCGGCCAAAAAACAGTATGCATCCATGTTTGTTTGTGAGTGAGTTTAGTTTTACGCCGCACTCAGCAATATTCCAGCTACAAGGCGGCGGTCTGTAAATAATTGACTGACCAGACAATCCAGTGATCAACAGAATGAGCATCCATCTACGCAAATGGAAACCGATGACATGTGTCAACCCACTAAGCGAGCCTGACCACCCGATCCCGTTAGTTGCCTCTTACGACAAGCATGGGATCTTAACACTAACCCGGATCTTCACAGGTCATGTTTGAGTGTGGTTAAACATGAAATAATATAGAAATGGTATTTCGAAGGTGGTGTTATTTGACAGGAATGTCTCCAAATTTAGTTGTGTTTTGGCCCTAAGGTTTGCAGTGTCACTCAGTCCTACAACTTGTAACGGTTAGCTAATGCTTTTGGTCAAACCCAATTTTTTTAGTATACTCTTGATCCATACTCTGGTTTGCCAAGGGAGATTATATAGGTATTATATTCACATGAAATGTAATATTTACATATGTAACCTATATATTGTTTACCTGGAAACAAACGTTCAATATGCAGACTCGGAATGAAATATATTCCACACAGCAGACAATAGTATCTCAGTCTAGTCAGTACTTGTTCTTTAATGCACAGCACGGATCTGTACTGATTTATAATACATCAATATCGTGATTGCTTTCTGAAATATAAACACGATTCAATGCCTCGGGTGTGCCTTGCTATCCGATATCAGTCAGTTAATACCCTGTTTTACACGATCGGCCATGAAATACAATTGACGTTTTTCACTGATTGATCACTTCTTCCAACACTGCCCTCATAACCTCCACGAAACACAGGAGATTTACTTTGAAATATTTATTTTCAATTTCTAGTTCAAACAATTTCATGCGCTGCAATCAAATCCTGCCAATAATACGTTTATAACCCCCTTTGTTTAGAAGGTCAATAATGTTTACGTTCAGTGTCACCGCTAGAGGTCGCTGGTTTACATGACTGGAGTCTGTATGTAAACAGTGGTATTATATTGTTCCTGGTACTTACTTGATTGCAGAGAGACCCCCGAAGGAGTGTTCCGACAAATGCTCCGAGGAGAAAAACAACAATAGGTTGGTAATAGTTTGTGTATCGCTTGCGACGTGTTTTAATAGAACAACGGAAGAACTGTCATGAATGATAGTCCTCATTTGCACGACTGCTTTGAAAACTATTTTAGGATGAGAAATTCAAAACGTTTGACCTAAACGAAACCAAGATGGCGTGAGAAGAGCGGTATTGGTCGTTTTAAGGGTGAAATCATGACATTGTGAGACTAACTTGATAACCACACAGACTAATTTGATTTCACAAAGGGAACTGTTTTTAGTTCCCTATTGTTGTTTATGTGGTGTAAGTAGAGGTAATTTAACAGGGATTAAGTTTTGGCAGTTCGGAATGTGTAATTCAATGCAATGAAGACGAAGGCTCTCATGCTTGAAAAACGCTTGGCGGGACCATGTCAAGGACATATGTCACTTGAGAAACAGTTGGGGGTGGACTGTTACATTTTGGGAGATAGGGTGTGGGGTGGGAGTGTGTATATGGTTTGTGTGTAGGTAATAGTGTGTGTGTGTGTGTGTGTGTGTGTGTGTGTGTGTGTGTGCGCGCGCGCGCGTGTGTGCGTGCGTGCGTGTGTGTGTGTCCCTCTCTATGCGCGTGTGTGTATCTATCACGGATTCCTACTATCTAGTACAATCCAGTTCAGGGGCGTAGCTTCCATTATAAACAAAAGCCCAGGTTTACACATGCATGGTTGTTGCTAAACACTGAATACTATCTAAATATCAAACTTTGCAACCTATCTGACTTACACGAAACAAATTGGCTTGCTATGCGCCTGCAGTTCCTACATGACGGCGAATTTAGAAGAAGTGCTTTTTCAGGGTTGACAGAAACTTGGCTTGCGGTTTTATGCTCTGCTGAAAAGAAACTCAACAACGCCATCGGCCGACTGTGTTTTTTCACGCATTGCCAAGCACCATTACTAGACTGTGAAATCGTTATGAGGCGGAAGGGTCAACACGTGACCCACCCAGATCCGGTACCACGTGACACAACTGCATCTGATTTGGTTCCAGGCAGTTCTATACTCTCATTGGGTTCGTACAAGATATTGGGAACAGGTAACTTTCCCCTTTGCGTTCGATGTGAACCAGGATGAACCTGTCAGTGACAAACTTAAACAATTTGTTAGGATCTGTTGAAAATCTTTATGATAAATCTAGTATATATATACAACACTTTTGCGTTTCTTTTTCGAGGTATATATCGAGAAACATTTAAAAATTGGTCACGAGTTTTGCCATCGTGGGTTGTGTGATAATGAACGGGTAAAACCTGTGATTTACGTTTGATTATGAATTTCCTCTGAAGACTGCCCAGATGGTAGAATGAGGAGTGAGTGAACACGGTTCTATGCCGCTTTAACTTCGAGAAAACCGGAAGTTCGACATAATAGTGTTTGACTGTACTTTCAAAAACGTTATGAACCTTTAATTTTCGTAAACTATGAGTGAGTGAGTGAGCAGGGCTGCACGGTATTACCGGTACATCGCAATACGCCTTTCAAACGATACGTATTGCAATATTATTTCTGAGAACCGGTATATTGGGTAAAGAACATATATGAAGCTTTTGTGATTATCTTTATGGTATAAATTAAAATCTGCACATACTTTCATTCATAACAGATGTTTTCCTTCGCTATTTTCAATGACAAAACATGATACTGTAACATGATAATCTCTTGTAACGCCTCTAAAATCCTCTTATTTTATTAATTTGCTTTAGTATGATGCACAGACGCAGCATGAGGCTAATGTTAGGATCATGCACACGGCTTGCTAAGCTGACAAGTTTGTAGTTTAACGCCGTACAAAGTAAAATTTAAACTTTATGACTGCAGTCATATTAATGGAGTATCGACGACACAATCGATTTATTATCATCGATGGTGAGTGAGTGAGTGAGTGAGTTTAGTTTTACGTCGCACTCAGCAATATTCAAGCTATATGGCAGCGGTCTGTAAATAATCGAATCGGGACCAGACATTCCAGTGATCAACAGCATGAGCATCATCGATGGTAACTAAGTAAGCTGGTCTGATTTCGTCATCGCACACAACTAGGATGGTTTACTGAAGATCAACACTAACATCTTCATGGAGCCTTAGGAAACAGAACTGACCCACAGGCTGGACGGGGGCGGAAGAAATGAGAAACGAAATACATGCATTTTACCTTTTTTTGTAATTTGTACAAGATCTGGTTTGGTTTGGTTATTGTTTTAACACCACACTCAGCAATATTCAAGCTATATGGCGGCGGTCTGTAAATAATCGAGTCTGGACCAGACAATTCAGTGATCAACAGCATGAGCATCGATCGACGCAATTGGTATACGATGACATGTGTTAACCAAGTCAGCGAGCCTGACCATCCGATCCCGTTAGTCGCTTTTTACGATAAGCATGGGTTACTGAAGACCAATTCTAACCCGGATCTTCACGGGTAAATTAGTACAAGAA